TACACGCCCTCGTTTCTTTCTATTCTCTAAATCAGAATGTACGCAGTGACAGTAAATAAGAATCAAGCAGAGACAAATTCAAAAGCTTCACAACAACGGATTGACATCAAGACCATCTTCAGGTTACATAGAACATTCTCGCATACTGATCTGGTTTGAGATGGATACCTCTAAACTGAAGCTAAGGAATTTGGGATCGAAGAAATGATTGATTTGTTTTCTATGGCTTATCAACCCTTTGCAGGTTATTTAAAGCCAGAAAATATTTTTAGATACTAAATTTTTTTTTTCTGTTTTGGAGACAATAATGATTTAGTAATACAAGTCTTACTAATTAACCAATAGATGGGGGTTGGGGAGAAGAGGTGGATTCATACCTAATAACAATTTGATGAAAAAAAAAAAAAAAAAAAAAAAAAAAATGACAAGAAATTATGTGGATGTAAAGTGGGGGATCAGTTTTATATTACAATCAATATATAAACTGATCCTTCACTTTGTGGCTACAGGAGTTACTATACATTTATATTTCTGAAAATGTAAATAAATCTAAAAGATATGCCGGTGTAGTTTGATTGATTTGTTGATTCATTTTCTATGGCTAGTCAATCCTTTGCAGATTATTTAAAGCCAAAAAAATATTTTTAGATTCTATGAATTTTTTCTTTTTTTAGATAATAATGGTTTAGTGATACAAGTCTTCCTAATTAATCCATAGCTGAGGGAAGAAGAAGTGGATTCATACCTTTCCCAAGGATATTTGTACACAAATGAACATAATGAACCCAATGGGAATTGGAACTTGGCTCTCCGATTAACAATTCCAACCCATTAAACCACCCACACATCCAATCTTATAGCATCTAATATCTCAAGTGGTCACTCATCTATGTATTGATCAGGCTTTATGTTGCTTAACTTTGGTGATCCTATGGGAATCAGTGTTTCAATGTGATGTGACTGTAAGCTAGATGGAAGAAAGGAAGCAAAAGCAAGGAAACTTGTAAAAACATCAATTTGATGTAATACAGATATGAAATTATTTCAGTTAATTTTAACAAAGTCTTTGAGGATAAAGACAATGACAACCATTAAATAAGCAGTGTGGATCATAACCAAATAAAGGCTCATCTAAGAAATTCAGATGACAACCTCAGACTATTGTATCTTCTAACCTATGCTGTACATTAGCCAAGGATAACACAGAACTGTGCAAATGTGAGGTAACATGTTTCCTTTTCCTATCTGTAGTATAATCATCCAATTTATGTAGTGTGCTTGTTAACACAGCAACAACAGCACATTGTAGCACAATAACTAATTGTGTCAGCACAAGACTCTCTGGTAAAATGTTCTAACTTGAAGAGTAATGTAATTTTTAGTCTAATGAAGACTAGACTTTTTGAGTAATGCTCAATTAAGGATGAATTGACAAATAAAAATGATGTCTGTTCATTAACTGCTCATTATATAATCATTTTTCTTAATGTGTTTGCAATCTTTTCCATCAGTCATAGTGGCATGATGATACTTTAATAATAATTGACATTTATTGATAATGAGCATTTGCAAATAAAACTAAATAGCAAGTGACCTGATACCAAGTAGAAGTTCCTAAATGTGATATATGTATTTTTACTACCTGTTTAAAAAACATGTAAACTATTGAATTTGAAAGTTCTTAAAAGGTCAAATATTTTGATTTGTTGCTGTAGGCTTCTCGTGATGCAGCTACAGTTTTAATAGCCAATGTAGATTTTTACAAGCCCAAGGCTTAAGATGGATGACAAGGCTAAGGATGATCAAATGCCCTATTATTTATTTATAGTTAATGGAGGAATAGATTCATGCCTTTTTCAAAGGCAGGAGTGCAAAATGAATGCCAATTGCCGTAGCCAGAGTTTGAACTGTGTTCACCAATTCCATGTCACATCCCAAACCATTAAACAAAGTACACATTTGGATCAAATATGCTGCTCTGTATTCCACCTCTGGTTTTCTAAAAAGAGCTCTGGGGACACAAAGTAGGTAGGTCCAAGAAGGTCAGTTGTGGGGGCATCCAGTTAAGAGTATGTAAAAAATCAAATTGTTCCAGTTGCCTGAAGATGATCATGGAGTATACGAATCAAGAATCTCTCTAAGGATGATATTAGTTAATGAGAGATGTAATTGTCATTTTTTTTTCATTTTTAAAGAAAATAAAAAAAAAAAACTTTAATTCATATCAAGTTTTTATACAACTGCATGCATTCATTACCTGATGTCTCACAAAGTCATGAAATAAAAGAAATGTATGAAGAAATATACAGTAAGTTCCCAGATTATGACAGTCCCAACCTACAATGATTTATGGTTATGATACAATCTTCATTAATCCTGTTTTGACTTTTGCCATATACATAAGGTGTGGATCAGTCCCTAGTTGTATCCTATATTGGATTGTAATGAATTCATTCTCTTGTATTTGTGGAAACTTATTGCCCTTCGTTGTGGCTCTCAAGCATCTGAGGGCGGTGCTTTAAAGAAAAGGAAAGTCATCAGCATGGAAGTGAAATTAGGTATTGTTAAACCCTCTGAAAACTGAGAAACAGTGATAAACATTGGCTGGTTGCTTGACTTAAGCCGTCCAACTGTCACTTAAAGCATGTACATATGTGTATACATATTGAGTTTCCCTGTAAGAGATAAAGACATTTTTTGTTAAACTATAAGTTGGTGAATTCCTGATAAAAAAAGAAAAACAAATTTGAATTTGTTTTTCTTTCTGTCTTAGATTTGCTGCTGTTTCCGAGTATTGCAAGAGAGACAAAATCTTATGCTTTGTCATCTACCAAGTACCAATGACATCACTGGCAACTAATATACAAACAGCTTATAACAATTTTATTATCTGTATTACTTTCATCTCATTATATGTATTATATTTAGGTTCTCCATATTTTTTTTTAATCCTAATTATGTTAACATCCGTCATAGAAATGTGTTGTTATATCCTAGATTATTACTTTACTATTGCATTAGCATTGGTGAGTGACGTAAGTTTCTATTTGTAGAAAATTGTGTTACGAGGCATTGTAGGAATGGAACTGCCATAAATCAAGGACCCCTTGTAATATGCAAATAAAAGAAAGCTTTCACTAATAAAGAGCGAAATAAATTTAAGATCAGACACATTTTACAACAAGCCATTTTCATTCATGAAGTAAAAATCAATCAAAGAGAAGTTTCATATTTTCATCCAAGTATCTTTTCACTTTTCAAGTCAACAGATTTGATTTGGTTTAGTTTATTTTTTTCTAAAGTATATCAAAACCTAAATGGCTTATTTCATGCCAACATGATTTTTAAGAAAGGTTAGCATGAATAGAATGTGTATTCTTTGTATGGAATCAGTTTGTAGGAGATCTGGTTTCATTGATTGATTTCAATCTTTACTGGGGAATGATTGCAAAACATTTCCCCCTCCACTTCTAGAAGTCCACAAAATTTATGCTGGGATATTTTTCTTAGCCAATAAAATAGGCCAGTTTGCAGTTAGACATGACTCAGTCCAGATTTGCTTTGTCTAGAAGACAGAACACTAAGTTCACATGTGCAAACTTGCTTTTGTGTGTCATTGCCAATTCTTAGTTTGTGAACTCTTTTTGCCTTATTACTGTTAATTTGCTTTGCATATATTGTTTGCTTGCTTGCTCGATATTAGTTTATTTTTGCACCGTTTCTTTTTTCTCTTTATTGCAAACTTTGTTAATTCTGTTTGTTGGACAGTTCTGTTATTTATTTTGCATATGACCATGGCTACTCACTTCACAGACATATTTTTATAAAGAGGGCTTTTTCTGAGAGTCAAATATATTGTTAGTAATTTATTTTTCTTTTTAAAAATGTATTTCTAGTAAATAGTAATATAATTGCAGGTTATTTAAAGTCAGAAAATATTTTAGATTCAGAGATATTTTGGGATAATAATAATGATTTACTGATAGAAGTTCTACTAATTAACTCATAGCTAATTTGATTTTAACATTTATTCTAACTGAATTTTTGGCCTTTCAATAAATGTAAAATTAATAACAAAACATGTATTTTTTCCTCAGTTTCTTCTTTAAATAATTTTATAATTTTTTAATCTTAATACAGATTAAATTTAAAATTGGTAATTTTTAATTTTATAGTAAAATTTAATATTAATGAGAATGATTTCTATTTACTCTAACCCTAACATTAAAGCATTAATTATTATAAGCAAGGTTTGTTGTCAAGTTTTTTGAATTCCTTTTGAATTTTTTTTTTTTTTTTTTTTTTTACGAATTGGTCAAACCCAAACTCAAACAAAAACATTGTTTTCAATCGTTATGTGTCTACCGATTGAATAGAATTTTATTATAAACAATTGTCTTGCAAATGGAATTTTTAAAGCATTCTGAATGTAAAAATAAAGAAAAAAGTGTGCAAGACAATAAGAAACACTACCTGCCAAAAAAAAAAAAAGAAAAAGTGAAGTATTGTTGAAATCAGTTGAAAAATGTAGGAAATCCGATCCCATATATAAAGGAACACACACAAACAACCTGGGTTTTATAATAAGTATAACTTGATATGAGTTGTCTCCCTTTCATTCTCGCGATGACTCTTAATCATGTTTTCAAATTGATTTGGTGCAAAAACAATTGTGTTTTTCTAATTTTTGGCACTGTCAGAACCACCGCAAGGTAATTTTACATAGACCTGTGAAGTTTTGTTGAAATCGGTTGATTAACTGTCCATCTTCATTTTCTAAGATAATTCTCAGTAACACTCTACCATGAGTGGCTCTCGAGCATTTTAACTGTACATCTTCATTTTCTAAAATAATTCTCAGATTTAAAACACAAAAGATTAGAAGAAATTAAATGTAGGAATTTTTTTTTACAGAACAAAGCTCACTTTCCGATTTATTTTGACAACACTTTTTATTAACAAGTAATTATGTTTTTAACTGAAAATGACCTAATTCTTACCTTAATTTGGAAGGTGGAATGTAAATCACCAAGTGATTGCCAAAATGTCACATCATCACCGTCTTGTTTCACCATGATGATTTCTGCTTTGTTCTTACGTTCGTTTTTATTTATCTTTTCAGCAATTAACCTGTAAAATCAACAAAACCATTCCAATATAACCAAATGCAATAAACAGACTGAATTTACCCTCAATACTCATGCACAAACCAACCCTTAAATTATTTTTGCATCAGACTTAAACCCCTCGATAAAAAGTTTAACTTGTTTATAGTGCAACTGGTCACCAAAAATGCATAATTTTTAAGCTTTTCAAAAAAATTACCTGTGTATAGTGCAACCCCCTATTTCTTGTGGATAAGGGCTCCATCCTTGGTCCTAATTTGGTTTTAATTTTCATTAATGACTTTCCCATCAGCATCAACTGTTAATTTGATATCTACACAAATGACAATCATTTACTCCTGTCTCGATAGTAAGTCTGATCAGTTCAATAAGGTGAAAATGACAGCTGATGTCCAAAACAACCTTCAGTCTGTTGTTAACTGGGGCAAAATATGGATTGTTAATTTTAATGCCTTCAAAATTAAACTGTTCTTCATTAATCATATGAGAGACCTTCTCTGCCTTCTATCAGTTTGGCTGATGCTAACCTCCAGGAAAGTAACATATTGCACCTTCTTGGGCTTACATTCTCAGCTGACATGAAGTAGAAAGACTATATTGAATCCATTGCTAGGTCAGCTGCTAGGAAACATGGTTCCCTGTGTTGTGCAAGACAATTTTTTCTCTCCAGAATCTATAATACATATCTCTACATCTACCATCCTCCCATGCTTAGAATATGGTCTGTTGTCCCTGCTATTTACCTTGAGCTCCTTGATAAAATCCAAAAAAGAATCAACAATATTATTGGTCCTGACATAGTGTCTCTGCTTCAGTCACATTCCCATGACTGTAAGGTTAACTCCCTGTGCCTTTTCTATAAATACTTTCATAAATAATGTAGCAAAACTTAAAAAAAAAAAAAAAAAAAAAGAAGAAATAATGCTGGAAACTTTTCAACAGTCTAATAAGTACACAGCCACAGGCAAGGCAATAAAGCCACTAAGACACAAGGGGGTTACTGGGTGTGGAAGAATTTGAGACAGAAACATTATTAATGATTGAGAACAAAAAGTGTAATTTAATCAGGAAGACAGTAGATAGTGATTGAAATTCCATTTAAATTTTTGAAGATTAAAGTTGGCTGGAATGCATGGAGCCAGAAGTGAGTTCTGCAAGTGAGAAATGCGAGAGAAGAAACTGTTAGCATTGGATTTATAGTTACACCTAGACATTTCAATTGCATATCGATGAGACCTCATTACCAGTTTAGTACTGCACTTATATTTATAAAGTCTAGGAACCATAGTGAAGAGTTCATCCAAACAATTACCATGAAAGTATTTTTAGAAAAGGTACAAGGAGGCAACTTTACACCAGTGGGAAAGTTATTGAAGCCAAGATGCCAGGTTTGGCCTAATAACATTGCCAATTCTTCTTTGGATTTTATCAAGAATCTCTAAATATATAGCTGGGGCACCAGACTGTAAGTGGCATCAATATCCTAAGCATGGATGAATGGTAAACTTATAGATATGCAAGATAGATTCTGGAGAGAAAAATTGTTTAGCATGATTCCAATTTTCTTAGCAGCTGACCTAGCAATGGATCTAACATAGTCTTCCCACTTCATGTCAGCTGAGAATGTTAGTCCAAGAAAGTGGAATGAGTCACTCTCCTGGAGGTTAATATTAGCCATGCTGATGGAAGGTAGAAAGGGGTCACTCAAATGATTAATAGAGAGCAGCTTAGTGTTGGAGGTGTTAAAATTAACAAGCCATTCTTTGCCCCAGTTAACGACAAACTGAAGGTTGTTTATAACTGCCAATTTAACCATATTGAATTGATCAGATTTTATTGCTAAAAATTAGATTATTTTCAAATGTTTAAGGGTTTTAATTTATCTATGTTTTCCATCAATATGAAAATGTCAATATATCTGGCATATATTGAGGGTTTGTTGAACTTATTTTGTATTGAGTAGTGTTGGAGATGCAATCTTCCAAAAGATGTGGTTAATGTATGAATTTAATGCTTGTTATTAGAATTCACAAACATTATTTTTACATAGGGTAATATTATTATTATTATGCATTACAATCAAACAAATTTATTTTTTTTAATACTTACCGTGTTTTGGTCTTTGTAACCCCTTTGGCTCTTTTACCTTCCCAAATGTAAATGTTAAAGCCAGAGTCAAATAAGAACACAAAACGAGGATCCAAGGAACAAGCTGTAGCATCACACTGCGGGGGTAAAAGAAAAAAAATTAATTAAAATAATGCATAACTATTAATAAAATAACCAGAGATAATGAGACCATATCAATTACACTTTAGCTGCACATTTCAACCAACCAGATGATAGTATTGATAACATTAGATGCACATCCTTTTAACATTTTCATTTAGCTGGCATCACTAAAAATCAAAGTTAAAATTCATTTTTAAAATTCTACATTCTAGGTTTATATAGAAATTTAGTGATAATTTTCTTCATGTTGCAGGTAGATGATCATGGCTCTCCACAATTTCCTGTCCCTTGTAGCTCTTAATAAATTTTGTCTTTTTTTGTTATTTCTCCTAAACCCTGTTCCCGCCATCCATTTACTCAAGCTGATTTTTCTTCTTTATGTGCCATGTTTCTTCTGGATGTAGGTGATCTTAGCTCTCCACAATGTCCTGTCTTATGTAACTTTTAATAAATTTTGTCTTTCTTATTTCTCCTAAACCTTGTTCCACCATCCATTTATTCAAGCTAAGTATATTATACACTGTTCTCTTCTGTCCCTCACTTGCCTTCAATCTGTCCCATGAGTATCAGATTTTCCAAGCCCTGTTTCCTCGTTACATGCTCTAGAAATTTCAACTGTCTCCTGAAGTACAAGTTTCCTTTTTGTTTCCATTTTCTCTAAAACTTTGTTGTTGCTCACATATTTGGACAATAGTATCCTCAGCATCTTTCTGGAGAACCATATTTCTGTTGCTTTAAGTCCCTTCATATTTGTGGGGATTGTCCAGTATTCACTGTCATATAAGAGGACAGATATGTAACAGTTCAGTATTCGTTTCTAATGACATTTTTCTGTTTCTTAATACCCTGCTTAGCTTTTGAAGTGCATCTTTGGCTATCCCAATACACCTTCATATTTCAGTGTCACACTTTCCATCCTCTGTTAAAACACTCTCCAGATATTTAAATTTTTGTACGTTTGATTTTGTTATTGCCAATTTGTAATTTGTGTTTTGGGTTCACCCCTTTTGCTAACAACCGTGCATTTTCTTGCACTTCCTTTAAAACTAATGTAAACAAGGTTATTACAGTGATTCAAGACTGGATGGCTGATGCAGTACTGAGATAATGTAATTGTCTTAGGAAAACAATTTTATTAAAACATGAGGCATTAGGTGTAAAAGCATGTGTAAGAATAAATTTAAAAAAAAAATGACTATTTGGAAGTAAAGGAGTCAGAAAGGGTGATACCTGAATTCATATGCGAATCATGTGGGGCTAGACTGAAATTCTGATAGAGATATTTTAACTTATTTTCACTAATCTAGATCAATTTGCTCATGTTCATATGTAATTTTGGAGACAGACAAAGGAATTTATCTGGCCTTGGACATCTTCCATCACATCTGATCACGTAGGATGCACAAACAGTTGTGGTCGAGTCCAGTTTCAGTTGCCAGCTGTGTCAATTAGCTCATTGTGTCAAGCACACCTGAAAAGTAATTTTGCTTCCACAAATTTCCTAGCAGCGGGCATCTGAATTGAAGAAAGGCAAGAGCCATCATTTTTTTTCTTTACCTTCCTGTACCTACCATCTTTGTTGGAATAATGAATAACGTAGTTCAGCTGGACAATTTTCATTGTTTTTTTTATAAATCTTTATTATTAAAAGATAATTCTGCTCATCAAGACATCTGTTCCGAGAAAGGCTTTATTCATCCAGTATCTGGACAAAAAGAACACCACGGAGAAGAAAGTAAATAATCTTTATTTAGCAAGAAGTAATCTTTATTTCTTCTTGCTGGGAATCATAACACAATCAACTAGATGATATGACCAACTGTGAATAGCACCATAGCCCACTGGGACACACTCAGCAAAGTTACCATGGGCATGGGTGTATGTTCACAGTACTGTGTCATACAAGATATTAATAGTTACAGAAAAAAACCCCATCCCCAAAAGATAAGTTTTACTTACTCTTTCCAAATGAATTCTCTGTATCCCTGAAGCCCGATATAATTTTTTCTCAAATGCCTACAAAGAAAAATGTTAAATAATATAAAATTACATGTTTGTAATCTGTAAATACTTGAAAAATAAATGTTGATTAAATTAACCAGATACAATGATAAAAAAAAAGTTGTTGTTCATTGTGTTAGAAAATTTTTCTCGCTAGAATCTATCTTACAATCTACCATTCATCTATGCATTGAATATTGCTGCCACATCTGGTCTGGTGCTTCTGCTATGTATTTAGAGATTCTTGATAAAATACAAAGAAGAATATGCAATGTTATCAGTCCTAACATAGCATCTTTGCTTCAGTTACTTTCCTGCCACTGTAGTATAACTTTCTTGTGCCTTTTCTATAAATATTTTCACAGTAATTGTTCTAATGAGCTTTATTTTTTGGTGTGTCAAATTTATGACTTTATGTGCAGTACTAGATTGGCAGTTAGGTCTAATCATTTTACAGATTTAATGGCTAACTTTGCATTTTGTTTCTCCAGTTTATTCTCCAGTAATTTCTCAGTCACCATGCAGTATATGGTATCTTGTTTATAAACAAGTGTTGTGTACCTGGTTAACAAATTCATCTAAGACCATTTCTAGTAAGTCTTAACTTTGGCAATGAAACAGTGTAAATTTGGCAGTGTAGCAGAATAAAGAACAATTTTTGGCCGAAACATTTTTTTGTAAAATAATTGACTTACAGGCTGACTAAATTTTAATTTTTATTATTTACATTTCTCTGACCAACAGGAACCCTTGTTGCCCTTAGTTCAAACGAAAAGCAAGAAAAAAAATGCTTGCAAACCTGGATTTGTTATTGATGTTTTACAGCCAATAACATTTTGCATGACAAATGTATTAATATTTTTTATTCAGTTAGAACTCAAACTAACAATTATTCTTAGTTAATTTTAGCTTTTCATATAACTAGCAAATTCTTAAAAATAGCTCAACTTCAATAATCATGTGCATCATGTAGCACTGAACATGTTTAAAAACCAAAAAATTTTCAGAGCTTCAGGAAAAAAAAAAAAAAAAAAAAAAAAAAAAAACTTTGTTAAGTAAGATTTACCTGGAAGGAACAAGGAACTCTGACATTCTACAGATTTAAAGAAAAAAAAAAAAGCCCCTAAAATTAATACCAGATTCAAAATGAAAAGATTTAAACCTCAACTCACCACTTCTTCAACTGTGTAAAAGCCACTGGCAGTTCTTCCACCATCAATATACGAAATTCCATGCTCAAATAATTCCAAGAACTCATCTTCTTCTTCATTCATTTCTTGGCGACTGGTTCTGGTTTCAAAAAGCAAATTACGAAGATTTACAGCATGGATTGCAGCACAAGCTTTTTTATCCAACTGAAAATAAAGAATATCAAGGAAGAAGATTAGTTAACAGACAATGGGATAATGTTGTTATTAAGAGGAAAGACCAAAGTGCTATTTTTATTATTTTATTAAATGTTTTAATCCTTTGGTTAAAAATATATTTTTTTTTTTTTGCATCAGTTGTGGGCCAAAGTTTACTATGGGAATTTTAGTATCTTTTTTGTGGTATTAAAAAAAATAAAAAAATAAAAAAAAATTAAATAATTATCAAATTTTAATGAGATTTTCAGTACTTATTCACAAACAAGTTTTGAAATTATTTTAAAAATATAATTTTTTTTTTTTTTTTACAGCTGTTACTCACACTTAATGAAATTTTAACAAATTAAATTTTGATCCAAAAATTTTTTTATTAGTTAAAAGCAGGACTCTTTGGAGAATGTAAACCATTGATTTCTTTTTTTTCAAACAGTTACTGTTTTCCCAAAAATCTGCTCCAAATCGTAAAATAAAAAGTGCAATAAAACTATGACATTATTTAATTAGAAAAGCTTTTAATTGCTTTTATAAATAAAATTTATTAAAGGACATTATTATTTTCAGAAAAAAAATTTTTTCTGATGAATAATGATTGATTGGTTTTTATTTTTTGTTTAATTTATTATAATAAATTACTATAATTTATATATAAATCTTTTAAAACTCTGCATTACTTTGATTGCATTAGGTGAAAATTATATTTACTAATCAAAAATTGAAAAACTTAATCCAAATCATTACACACCAAGATTTTTAAAATTCAATAAAACATCACAGAGAATATTTCCCTAAATTTTTAAGATTACAGAGTACTTAAAAATTATATAAAAAGTTGCTCATGTCATTTTCTTAAATTATGTTTTACAGATAAATTTAGTCATACTCTTCATGTTCTGTTTCACCTCAGGATCATAGCTCTCCACAATTTCCTGTCCTTTGTAGCTCTTAATAGATTTTGTCTTTTTCTTATTTCTCCTAAACCCTGTTCTGCCATCAATTTATTCAAGCTTGTTAGGTAGGTTATGTGTTCTTTTCCTCTGTCCAACTTGCCTTCATTGTTCTGTGAGTATCAAATTTTCCAAACCTTCTTTACTCATTATGTGCTCTAGAAATTTCAACTGTCTCTTCATGATTCTAAATATAAGTGTCATTTTTATTTCCATCTTCTCTAAAATTTTGTCATTGCTCATATGTTCAGTCCATGGTATTCTCAGCATCTTTCTGTAGAACCACATGTCTGTTGCTTCACCTCTTCTTCATCTGCGATAAGATTGGCCAACATTCACTGCCATATAGTAGGATTGATATTACATAAGAGTTATGCACTCTTTTCTTTGTTTCTAACAAGTTTTTCCTGCTTCTTAATACTTTTGCTTAGTGTTTGAAAAACATAGGTAACAATATATATATATATATATATATATATATATATATATATATATATATATATATAAATAAATAAAGTGTGACAGTGACAAAATGCTAACACTTCAAATCTACTTACAGTGGCTTTGGAGCCAATCCAGTAATAAATTTGCCAACATAAACTGCCATTTTCATCCATGTCAGTGGACAAAACAATGTAGCAATCTGCTTCATAGAATTTGCCAATTAGACCTTTAAAAAAAAAATAAAATAGATAAATTACATATATCCCAAAACAACAAAAACAAAATAAACTCATCTTCTTTTATGTGCCATGTCCCTTCAGGACGTAGGCAATCATGGCCCACCACATCTTCCTGTCCCTTGTAGCACTTAATAAGTTTGGGCTTTTTGTTATTTCTCCTAGATCCTGTTCTGTCATCCACTTGCTTAAGTCTGTTAAGTATGTCACATGTTGCTTTCCTTTGTCCCTCTTTTTCTCTATCCGAGTATGAGATTTTCCAAACCCTCCTCTCTCATTACATGTCCCTGAATTTTGAGCTGCCTCTTCCTGATGTTAAGTATAAGTTTCCTCTTTGCATCCTCTCCAAAACCTCACTGTTGCTCACACATTCGGTCCATAGTATCCTTAGCATCCTTCTGTAGAACCACACCTCTGTTGCCTCTTCATCCTTAAGGAGACTGTCCAATATTCACTACCGTAAAGGAGGACAGATATCACATAGCAGTTCAGTACTCTTTCCTTTGTTACCAATGTCACTTCTTACAAAATAAATCTCAACCTGCATGCTACCAATGATAGAAAAATCAAAACATTAACAAATCAATGTTCTCTATGAATTTGCTTGCCCACAGGGAAAATGTTTGTCTAATAATAATAATAATAATAATAATAAACAATAGAAAGAAAATGATATATCAAAGATACTGTTTGGTTTTAGCAAGAAAAAGAAAGTATCCGGTCCACACTCCTCGCTTGTAGAGGTTTATTCCTTTTTTCCTGTTTAGGATTGGGTTTCCAGTTTCTTCTAAAGTCTGCTTCAGCTCTATACTTCTAACATCTTCAACTGAACTCTGAAATTTTATTCACTATTTACTTTTTTTTAATTTATTTTTTCTCTCCTCTACCAGTAAGAGTGTATAGGTTCGCCTATTGTCGAGTTTACAATCCTCCTTGGTCTTTCGAACAGGAGTAGAGGTTTATCCCTGGTTTCCTGTTTAAGATTGGGTTTCCAGTTCCTTCTAATGTCTACTTCAACTCTATATTTCTAATGTCTCTACCTAAACTCTGAAATTTTATTTACTATCTATTTTTTTTCCTCTGTAGAAAGAGATAGGTTCACCCAATGTCCAGATTACAAACCTCCTTGGTCTTTTAAACGTAAGTAGTTTTTACCTTGGCTTCATGTTTGGGATTTGGGTTTCAGTCCCTTCTAAAGTCTACTTCAACACTATATTTCTCATGTCTCCACCTAAACTCGGAAATTTCATTTACTATTTATTTTTCCTCAGTAGGAGTAGATAGGTTCACCCATCTCCTCAGTCTTTTTAGCTGAAGTAGAGGTTTATTCCTTGTTTAGGATTGTGTTTCCAGTTCCTTCTAATGTCTTTTCATTTTCTTTCACTCCCAGCAGCCCTTTGTGTTTTAGTGGCATTATCACCTTGATTGAGGTGAACTGATTAAAAAAAAATACCCTGCCTTTGGTATTTTCAGTATCCTGTAGAACCACATCTCTGTTGCATTGATTCACACTAATAATACTATTAACTACACTGATCTTTAGCAGAAGACCGTACAGGTAAATAAATGATCCTGTAATTTTTCAAGGGTATTATGTTTTATTACATATTTAAAAACTTATTTATCAAAAGCTGATTAGTAAAAACTTTTTCATTTTTGACAGGATGTGTAAATGAGTGATTATAATAAAAACATCAGCCAATAAATTAATTAATAAAGCACTTACAGTCATCAACTTGATTGGGCAGGAAGTTCTCAATTTCCCAACAAGTCAAGCCTAGAAAAAAAGAAAAAAATGAAATTTCATTTCACACTAAAATAGAAAAAACATCAGATAAAATGAGAATTACATATTTTTGTTTTTTTGTGCATCCTTCAAAGCAAGTTTGCTTAACAACTTGCCTCACATAAGCATTTCAAGCCTTGTCACATCTTAATTTTGATCTTAAATTTTGAAGATGGGTAAAGGCTAAAAGAAAAAAAAAATTTAACACACATATTTGCAAGGATAATGATATTATAGCAAGCATATTTTGTAAATAAAGAGCAAAAACTAGAGAATTAATAACAAATAAATGAATAAAAAGTTCTAAGACGTATCTTCTGACTCTGAGATTCATAGAAATAACTTTATTTTCTGTGGAAGATAAATTCTCTCTCTCTCTCTTTTATATACATATAAAAGATAATCCGAAGGAGCCAGGCAAACCTACCTAAGTTTCACCTAAACAGGTCATCAGGGTGATGCTGGCATAACCCTGACGATCCGTTTAGGTGAAACCTAGGTAGGTTTGCCTGGCTCCTTAGGATCATCTTAGGTTTTGGTCTACTTCATGTATTCAGCATCTTACGTAGTTGCCTTTTACTCATGTTGTAGGTTTTTTTAGGACTTTGAGTTTGAACTCTGGACAATTATTTTTGCCTTAGTTTAATGGTCTTGGTTCTTTCTTTTTTATTCCATTTTTATTTTCCTTGGATACCAATTTGTTCTACAAGTCAAACTATCTAAGGTTTTTCCAAGCGAGTACTACCATTATTATATATATATATATATATATATATATATATATAGCAACGATGAACTTGTGTATACGAGACGTGGAAGCGAAAATTGTGTCGCAATTAGACATTTAACATTTTTAGGCATTTAAAACAACATGCCTGGCCGTGTACACAATTCTGGAAAATCCTTGTTGAAAACAACTATACATGAAGCCAATAAACAAAAACTAAAAGTTCTTGAAGCGATATACATAAAACAGTTGAAACCTAACCTGAACAAAAACTATGAAATCTCCACAAATATTCTTAAATGCCTATAATTGATAACAGAAGCCATTGGTTTATACCGATGGCTTCCCATACTTAATACTTCTCGTTTTCACTCTCACGTGGTCATGTGTGATGTCACAAGCTGTGATGCGATTTTCGCTTCTGCATCTTGTATACACGAGTTTGTTGTTGCTTTGAAATTTTTCATGCAACAAAAATAGATTATCATTATTGTTTCATCCATGTATTGTTCAATATATTGAAATGTAATTGTCATCTTTGATAATGGCTTATGTAAGCTGAAAGCTTAGATAGGATTTAAACATGTATCAATATGGTGATTTCCTTTAGTCTTTCAATGATAATGTGATCAAGCTTAGACAATATGAAAGGAACTTAAAATAAATAGACAAAACTTGCCTATATTATTTAATGAAACATACACCTCTCTCTCTCTTTCTCTAATATATATATATATATATATATATATATATATATATAAATAAATAAATAAATAAAAGGTCAGGTTCTAATTAAGAATACCCTTTCAAAGATAAATTAAAAGATATATTTAGAAGATTAAAAATAAGTCATATTTAGATAATTTATATTAAAGTAAGAATATATTTTAAAAAAATTATATTAAAGAATAAAAATATATTTAAAAATAAAAATACAAGATAAAATAAATTATACATTTTAACTTTAAAGATAAGTTAAATCAAGTTATATTAAACAAAAAACATAGAAAGTCATATTTAAAAAATCTAAAAACAAATTTTAAGATATTTAGATAAAGAGGTGTAAGTGAAAAAAGGAAAGAGAGTTCTTAGAACAGGAGACAATTAAAATATATAATTAATATGGTGAACAAATGAAAATATGGAAATTAGAAATAGTTATACATTTGATATTTGAAGAGTTAGAGAATTATAAATTAATAAAGTAAAATCTATATTATAGAAGTTTAAATTTGTTTTTATGTCAACATTTTAAAACTAATTCATTCCTTTGATTTAATAGTTTGCTTTGATTATTATATTTTCTTATTCTAATTTTTTCTTCTAATCACAAATTACACCTATCTCTAAAACTATTAGGAGCATGAGTGAAATCTATAATTTTCCAGTTGTGGGTTCAGACCTTTCTCCTTCAATTCCCCAAATTTTTTTTGAAAGCTGTCTTGTGTTTTAATTTAGGGTTGGTAAAAGAGTGCCTGTGGGTATAAAATCTGTTTCTGTTCCCTGGTGGAAATTCCAATGTAAACATTATAATTTAACATATTTTCTTGGAGAGGAGAAAATGGTTGCTTGGTATATAACCTTAGTAGATCTGCATTTGCCCTCAACTGGACAACTTTCTTTATCTCTACAATCACAGGAGGGTTCCATACCAGGGAGGTTATTTATCCCATAGAACTTACTTAAAATATAGTTATTATGAGAGTTGATAATTTTGTATATGTTATTAGTGCAAGAATAGCTAATTTTAATTGTTTTCCTATTGAAGATCTTACTTAGAGGGTTGTTTTTGTGAAAATGTGTATTTATTAACTTTAGAAAATACTGCTCGATATTAATATTTGATAGTTTGCAGAAGTGGGGGTTGAACCATATAATTTTTCTTTTTCTATTTCTGTGCCTACATTAGATATTTCAGTGTTACTTATGGGGGGGGGGGTTAGATAAGATAATTTATTTTTAAAACCACTATTATGGAGAGCATATTCATACAATTCTTTATTTTTATTAAAGATGCTTATGTTTGACGATAATCGGCTAATCCTAGTGCTGACAGTGGTGGGTATCTGTCTCCCAATGGCATTGAAGTGGTTAGAATTAACATATATATATATATATATATATAGCCCCTTGCATTCACATAAAAAACAAAAAGAAATCGATGAATATATATGTCCATTAGAGTCCAAAATTGCTAGCAAATATAGAGTGTCCCAAAAATCTGGACACAGAGAAAATCTCATTAGCTACATTTTTTTATCTTCACAGATTAAACATGGTTTTGTTGAAAGAAGAAAGAATTGACTTCTTTTTCTGTGGTGTGCTAAAGGAAAAGGTGTACTCAATGAAAATCACAGAAGCAACACATTTGATTGAATGCATAAAGAGTGAATGTGCTAAATTGATAGCAATGTGGAGTTATTGCATAAAGTTCATATGAATCTTACAAAGAGGATCAACCTTTGCATCACAAATGATGGAAATCATTTTAAAAATATTCACGATGGAGTAATGGATAGCGGCTCAGATTGAGGAATCAGAGAGCAGAGTTCAAATTCCAGGCGGATCTATTACATTCATAGGTGAATGTAATGGATCAGTCCTGGAGAGGGTTGGGCTCTATCAGGATATTTTGCCCAAGAAACACCACTTCTACTGCAACTGCAGTACACATGGTGCTCCTACAATTCTATGGGTCATGAGAGAAAAAAAAATTCAATAAATGTTGAAAATGTTAATTTCTTGAAAATATGACTTTAGGGACATCTTATATATATATATATATATATATGTGTGTGTGTAATGTGAATGCTAAAGGGTTAAACTAAGAAAATAAATAAATATATCTGAAATTCAAAAATGATAAAAGATATTCCTGTGTAAGCCTCTTTTTGGATATTAGTAACTTAGTTTTTTTTTTTTTTTTTTTTTGACTAAGTGTATGTTTTTGTATTTTCTGATTGTTTTATTCAATTTTTCTTCTCTACAGATATATCCTGAGAACTTTAACACATTGTTGACATGGAAAACAAAATCACACACTTAGTCAAAAAAAAAAAAAAAAAATATATAACTGAAAGTAGGCAAAAATGAACAAACCAGGAATCTGTCCAACATCCTCATCAAATATCTGGCTATAATCAAGTTGGTGCTTTTCTAGTGTATCTTCAAGACGCTTCGGCCTGAAAAAGACAAAATAAAAGCATTAAGAATCATTTTTATTTTCTCTCTGATTCTAATTGTTTGTGATTTCATCTCCAGGATTTGAGTTCGCAAACTGACATCAGAAGTTATCAAGCTGTACGAAATAAAGATTGTATTCTGGTTAAATTCCACATTCCTTTGTAAAATAATAAGATTATGTAGCATCAAATCTCACATATACACAGCCAAGAAATACCAACAAGGAAGTGAATAATTTGAGAGGAACAAGAAATTAAAACCTAAAAACAATAAGGTCTTTTCAGTAAAGAATTAAATGGTATGCCTGCACTAGATCAAATTATATACATATAGAGTCAACTAAAAAAAAAAAAAAAAATGTATACACACTTCAAGAAAGGAAAAACTTGTATAGATATTGTAATACTAAATTTATTCAGACATCATGAGATTCATATATCATGAGATTCATTTTTGACATATTAATAATAAATATACATCCCCCAGTAGCCAAAATCTAAGTTTCATACACAATTCAATCAGAAAGAAAATTGATTGAAAACTGACTGTTGTATAATTTAAATATTGATATTTATACTGCACTATAATGATAGTGAAGATGTCCCTTATTTTACGAGATTGAGGAATAATTATGTGTGAAGCTTCAAGAAGAATGGTCTAAAATTAGTATCGAGGATTGTCAAGAACTGATTCGTTCTTGTAGTCGAAGATGTGCAGCTGTCATTGAGAGCAAGGGCTCATTTACTAAATATTGATTGTACATGTATTTTTTTGTTTTTTTGCCGTTTACATTGTTTTTCTCAATTTTGTCCCTTACTTTTGGACGTTCCAAATTTGAAAATAAATAAAAAATTGTTATAATTCTTTTTCTATCCTTTGCAAATGATTCAAATTTTAGTATGTTATTATGGATGATAACGACTACCAGTTGTCAAAATTTCAGCTTTTCACAGTTGTTATTTCTAACAAATATTAGGTTTTAAAATTTTGTCCCTTAGTTTTGGACGCTACTATATATATATATATATATATATATATATATATATATATATATACACACAAAAGAAATTTGACAATGGAAAATGTTTCATTAAAACTAGACTTGATTACGTGTTTTGCCTTTCTAGGCTCCATCAGATCCAAAAGCAAAAGAAACAATTGTGTGTATTTGTGTGTATGCTTAAATAATGAATCATAGTACTTTTTCCCTAAGTTGCCATTTCTTGTGATTAAAGAAAATGATTATTTTTTTAAAAAAAGAAAAAAGCTGTTAATATCTATTCTGTATCTTTTCTTTATAATTCTTAGTTCATACCAAAAGTTGTTAATATATTTTTCAGTTTTTTTTTGTACTGAATTAAAAGGTAAATCCTCATCTAATTTTCAGAATGGCTCAAAAGCAAGAGATTCATTTGGCCTTTTCTGAAGTGAATCCAAGGCAAATCCTCATCCAATTCTTCAGAGTGGGTTGAAAGTAATAGATTTATGTTCTTAGGTCTGTTCATGTTTTCTGTGTAGATTTAAAATAGCATATAGAATCACAATAAAGTTTTAAGAAACCTATTCCTAACAAGAATAAAACTAAAAAGAACAAGAGAAAGAATTTTCAAAAGAACTCACTTGAGTAATCCTCTTTCATCTGCATCATCTGCAAAATCAGACACAGCTTTACTTTCAGCAACATCTCGCATGCCCTGAAAATAATCAAAATTTAACAAAATCATATTTCTGAAAGAAATTGCTAAAACATCGTTTAAGTTCAGGGGTTATTTTAAGCTCATAATGGCAGGACTCCAGACTAATCTTTTTTTCATCATCATCCCAAAAATACAAATCAAATTTTAACCTTCTTGAAATCAAATTTAAAGATTTTTTTTTTTTTTTTAAACTTTGTGATCATTTATAATTGTTAGTAGTATAATAAAAAAGCACTGTTAAAATGTCTAGGAAATAAATTAAAAAAAGCACAAATATTCCAGTTATAAAAGTGAACAAACAGAAAAATGAATTGCTTAAATTTTCCAGCATTTTTGATAAAAAAACATATCTTAAACTTTTTTTTTTTAAATCACCTTGAATAATTTTACACAGAAATGTTCTTAATTTTCATAAGAGTAACTTTTATTCTACTTTAAGAATTGTGCTCGATGCATTCATTTTCTATGTAAAGAATAAAAGTAAAAATGACAATCAAAAAAGATTTTAAAGTCTTATTAGATTTATCTAGGATATTTTTCTCTATAGCCTTGGACACACACATAGAAAAGTGGCTTATGGCCACATTATGTTGAAACACCAGTGGTTCCTGTAAAAATCACCAAAGTTAAGCAACATTGAGACTAGTCAGTACCTAGATGGGTAACCACTTGAGAATACCATGTGTTCTAAGCTTGGATGTGTGGGTGGTGTAATGGATAGTGACTTGAAATTATTAATCAGAGTTCCAATTCCTGTTGGGCTTGTTATATTCACTTACATGAATATACCCTTGGAAATTAATGTTTATAACAAAAAACTGACAGAATCCACCTCTTCTCCCACCAGCTATAGGTTAATTAATAAAGCTTGCACCACTAAACAATTATTATCTCAAAAAAATTTCTTACAATTTAAAAATATTTTCTAGCTTTAAATAACCTGGATTGATAAACCCTAGAAAATGAATGAATCAATCAAAAAACATAGAAAAGGAAAAGGTGGTTTTATCACAAACTCAAGTGTTTCTGTTTGATAGACCAGTAGATGGTTCCTTTTAAAGTTTGGTCTTCTAAGCAGCATCCACTTTAACCAAAGGAGAATGTGAAGTAAAGGGATTTTTGGGGATCAAGTGGCAAGAAAATTGGAAATAGGGTATATCCTGCTGCTGGTTTTATTAACATTAATGTTTGGGACTGGAGAGCGATCTGGTCTGTCTTTGGCAAGAGATGGACGTATCTGTCGAGCTGTTTCGAAGACTTTATTTCGTATTGTCAGCTACCATATTGGAATGAATAGGTGAGTGACGAGTTGGTAGGAGGAAGAGTTGACATAGCAGAAGTTGTCCCAAGTATCACCTACCTACCCACCTGGACATGCAGGTGAAGCCCTGAATAAAACATCTACATATAATGTGGGAAACAAGGTTCATATTTTTTGATGTGGCATTTATCTTTCATCATGTTACCTTGTGAGCGTGCAGTGGGCCCTTTTCCAGTTTTCGGTGCACTCTGATGAGATTGTGAATTAGAATAAAACATAGGGTGTTCATTAGCTGTTCAGCAGAAAGATTGAGTGAGGGTCACGTTATATGTTTATAACTTAATATATTTAGTGTTCATTTAGTGATATACTGAGTACTGCTTTAGCAATAATCTTGCACCAGAAACACAAGATTTTTGAAGAGTATTATACAACAAGACTAACACAAAACTTAAATTTTACATAAAAACTAGAGGCTGGCTTGTTTTACAAACTCCTATAACTTTCCACATTTAAGGTACCATCTTCAGGACAAGAATTTAAAATGTTGTGATGAATTATACCAAGGGTAGCCAAACCATGGCTCACAAGCCACATGCAACTCTTTGACCTTTAATATGCAGCTTGTGGAAATATGTTGGCTGAAATCCTTTTTTTTTTGTCACAAAATATAAATTAGAAAAATTTCAAACTTTATAACTATTTACTGGGTATGAATTGAGATCCCATTAGATTAAAAGGTAAGTTTAATGTTAATGTGTATATAACAAAAATGTATGTGTAAATGTTGTTCATATCTTGCAGCTCATAAACACCTGAACTTTATTGTATATGGCTCTTACATTAAGCAAGTTTGGCTGTCCCTGAATTATACTCGGTAGAAACCACAATGTTATTATCTGGATCCCAGTTTGTATGGTCACTGGCAATTTATGGGTACTTTTAAATGATGATGATTTTTCTTCTCCACAAGTTCAGTATTTATTGCTTTGCTGATGGCAAAATGTGCAAATTTCAAATTTAAATTGTTTGTCTATTTAAAATACGAAATTTCTTAGAAAATATATTCAGTTGAAATACAAAAAGGACAGCTTATATTCTTTTCCTGTTACCCAGAGGCTGTTGCCAGAGAGAAAGGGAAATTAGCCCTTGCAACACAGATATCCATTTCAATTAAATTGTGCACATGTATATTTTAGTTCAATGACAGTCCTAAAAGTATTTTTTTAAAGTTATAAAGAAAAAAAAAAAATTCTATGTTTTGCTAAATAATTTCAAGAAAGTTCAATAATTTAGCTGTTATCCAAAATTTTTAGGATTTAAGAAAAAAAAAAAAAATTTTTCTTTTTTTTTTTTTTTTTAAAGGTCTCCAAATTTATGGCTCAGCCCAGGGTGGAGATTGATCAGACTGAATGGAAGGAGAATTTATTATTCAATTATCTTATTACAAACTCAATCAAACTGAGTGTGTACACATATGCATGTGTGTATACTGAATGGTACAAGCACATGTAAGTCACTCACACACAACACAGACATACAATTACACAATACATACCTGTATGTAAAGTCGATTTGTTGCTCAATCAGTATTTACCAGGGTAAAGGTTAACAGATAAGTGAAGATGGGTGGAGAGCTTAATGAATGAAATAATGAAACAAAGGAGATGATAGAACAAACAATGATACTAGAAAGCCAGGTAACAATTTTGTGTTTTGGCTTACCCGCAAAACCTTTTCACTCTCATGTCCACCATCATGTCGCCGACGTAATCTAAGTTTTCGAGCAATGGCGTCTTTTGGAGCTGAAAAGGAAGAAAACCAGGTTAAGGAATGAAAATTTTTTTATGGAATCTAATCAATATAATAAAATTAAAAAAAAAAAAAAAAAAAAAAAAAAATCACCCACCCAAATGAATCCTTTTTGGGCTAATGTTTTCCACTGACATAAAGCAGAAACATTATATCAAATTGCTAAGAATGCTGTTAGGAAAGCTGGCTGTGTTGAGCTAGAAAATTTTTCTTGCTAGAATCTATTTTCCATATTTATAAGTCTACCATTCATCCTTGCTTTGAATATTGCTGCCACAACTGGTCTGGTGTCCCTGCTATAAATTTAGGGTATCTTGATAAAATCCAAAAAAGAATTTGCAATGTTATTGGTTCTGACCTGGCATCAGTTCCTTCCCACCACCATAATGTAACTTTTCTTTAAATATTTTCATGGTAATTGTTGATGAGCTTTCCTCTATGGTACCTAGACTTTATGAATTTAAGTGTAGTACTAGATTGGCATCTAGGTCTCATCATTTTACAGTTGAAATAGCTAATGTGATCCTAAGTTCTAGGCTAACAGTTTTTTTTTTTTTTTTCGCATTTGGAACTCTCTTCCTGTTTTTTTACTTCCTCTATCAACTTTGGTCTTCAAAAATTTAAATGCAGTGAGCCAACTTTCCTATCAGTAGACCTAGCAATTGATTCTATATAATGTTCCCATTTTATGTCAGTAGAAAATGTTAGCCTGAGAAGGAACAATGTTTAGCATTAGCCATGTTGATAGAAGGTAAAAAAAAAAAAAAAAAATGTTCTCTCAGATGATTAAATATTAAAACAAATATTTATCCATTTCTGTTCTTACTATTCCTAAGAGGTGAAGACCACTGAGAGTAGACTTCAATGAAACACAGGTATGCATTACTTATATCAGTCAGTCAGTTAAGTGTACATTATATACACTTGGGTGATCAGGTCTTTCATTTCATGACTGACTGGGCAGGAGATTTTTCTGCAGTAGGCTGCTGTTTTTTTCTGCAGTAGACAATCAAGCTATAGGACCCAGTCTGTCCTGCTATTCAACCCAGAGACTGTTATTTACCCATAGCTGAGTAGGGGGAAGAGATGGATTCATGCCTTTCCAAAGAGTATTTGTACATAACTGTATATAACAAAACTGACTGGAATTTGAACTTGGCTCTTCAGTTTCATGATCAGAGCAGTTATGCATTACACCATATACATATCCCCATTACTTATATACATAGCATAAAACTGAATTTTTTTCACTTTAGAGTTTCAATCACAACTGTTCACTACATGAAAATAGTGGATAATAAAGATATTATTTACATTCAGACTAATATCCTCATCTTTGTTGTTGTTATCACAATGTTTCAGCCATTGTGTGAGCTCCAGCCTTCATCAGGTGTATATCAATCTGGATAACCTACAGGGAATTCTGAACTGAACCCTTTATTTAATCTATAGGGATAGACTGTTCTTGTTCCACAACCCATGTCTAGGGATATCTTGACTAATTCTTATTTATAGTATTGCTCAAAATATGGGAGTCACTAATAAAGAAAGACAAATGATAGTAAGTCTTCAGCAGTAGCAATCAAAACATGACATGAAGCAGTACTAATCAGCAGGCAGGTTAGGTTTAAGGCTCCAAGTTCATTATAGAGAATTGACCTATGGGACAATAGCCTAGTAAATTAAAGCATTGGTTTGTGGATTTGGTGACAGTAATTGTGAATTCAATCCCTGGGCCGGGCAGTGTGTACTTGAACTCAGTGGAAACAGGACGAGCAATAACTGAGCAGTACTAAAAATAATTAAACAAGATATCCCTAGATATGAGTAGTAGAACAAGAACAGTGTACCTCATTTGTAAGTTAAATAAAGTGTTCTGTTGAGAATTTCGTATTGATTACCCAGATTGATATGCCCCTGATGAAGGCTGAAGCATTGTGATAGCACCAACAAGGAGATGGACAATAGTCCGAATGTAAACAGTGTAAATAATGATAACCCATATCCCAGAAATTAAGACGGAAATAAGGATATCAATCAATATAAAAAATGTTGCATGATACTCACGTGATGTTTGTTCAGTTTGGGCAGGAGCAGCTGCACCTGCCAACCGAAGTTGATTGGCAAGAGAAAAGTCAATGTTGTAGAATTCTTTCCTTGTTCTTAATTCTTCGGGTTTTGGGGGCATAATCAAGTCAGGATTGTCACGCACATCCAACGTCTACAAAAAAAATGAGTACAATTTTGAAGTAGCAGAGAATAGGAACTGTTCTTTTTTTTTTCTGAACTTTTTACAAACAATTGTAAAAATGAAAATTTCTTAAACGATTCCTTTGATGTCCCTTCATGATATGGGTGATCATGGCTTTCTACAACTTCCTATGCTATGTAGCTCTTAATAATGTAGTCCTGGGTATGATGATAAACTACATCCAGCAGCAAGACCTCTGATTAGGAGATTGGAGGTTTTGAGGAGAATGAGACCACTCTTAAATACTGCTGTTCCCAGGTCCACCCTGACTCAGGGTGGTAGCACTTGTTAGGATTCTAGTTATGGCAAAAAGTGAACCCCCACCCCCAAACAAAAACAAAACACTATGAAAGTATAAAAATACATTTTTATAGTAAAAATACCAGTAATATTTTATATAAAAAATTACTAATAATGCATTTTATAGTAAAATTACCAACAATGCATTTTATCTGTAGTTGAAGGCATACAATTGTGTTCAAAATATATTTAGTTGAAGCTATAAAATCATGTTCAAAATATTAAGACAATTTGTACATTAAGATACAAAACTGAGCAGAGATGTATATTTCAAGAATGAGGAAAGCACTATTTGGGCATTGTTTTGCCAGTAGATTCTTTGTAGTTGAGCAGTTAAAGCATGTCAAATCAAATGATAGTTTCCTCTAGAGGAATGCATATTCGAATCCTTCCAAAGAATGCATAGATTTCTTGAATATTCGGGCCAGTAGATGAAATAAATAGATATACTGTTTAATAAATAAAATCAGAGCATCTAATCAAATATAGGTATCCACTAAAAATAACATTTAAGCAATAAAATAAAAACATGTTGGATTAATAAATGAAAAATTAATTCCTAAAAACGCTGAAGAGTTATAAAAATATATGCCTGCAAAAGGGTGGGGGAGTTACACACCCCCTGATGAGGACTCATGATGTGACAGAAAAACTTGCTATGTCTTGGATTTATCCTACCACTAAAATTAAAATCCCAAAAGCTGTAGGATGACTGAATTTAAAAAAAATCTTATTATTTATAGGTGTGTGTGTGTGTGTGTGTGTGTATATATTTTTATATATATATATATATATATATATATATATATATATTGAATATACTGAAATATCAATTTCAGTTGAGCTCTCTTGGGGACAAGGTGTGGGTTGGTAAACAGTGACTATTATAGCTATATAGCGAGACTCTTCAGAATGCGAATTGAGTCACTGTCGGTCAAGGCGTGTTTCTAAAAATAAATATAATTAAAAAATTCACTTTCATCCCATACCGTGCACCGACGGCTTAATGGTTAGAATCTCCGACTGACACCAATTCAGTCGGGTTTCAATCCTAGCTAGAGGCAACCGGATTTCTAGCCACACTGATGAGCTGTGAAACAGCGAAACAGTCTGTCTGTGGATGACGTTATATATATATATATATATATATATATATATATATATGGTGGAAGTTGACACGTGACCAAGTAAGACCATCTCTTACACTCAAACTTTCATAATTTTCCACACATTTAACTATCATCAATTCTCTGCTGATGGCATCTCAAATGACTTTGAAACCTACAAGTCATGCAGTTCTTCCCACATTGATGACATACTTTATGGCAAATTGTACACATATGATCATCGGGGATATTATATCAGTGAATGAATGAATTGTTTGGGTTAACGTCACATCAATCTTTATTAGTTCTTCCAATGCCCAAAATTTATTGTTTCATTGTGAATTAATCTACGCATACAGAGTTGGATTGTTGGGATTAATGACAAATCAACCTTTTTATTTTTATTCATTATTTTTTTTTTTTTTTCCTGGATATGAGAGAATCTTCCTGGCAGTGGCAGGCGTGATATTGGTAGCTGACATCACAATGACTTTGTGCGTGTGTGTGTATATATATATATATATATATATATATATATATATATATATATATATCACACACACAAACAAACAAACTTCCCCCACCACACCCAAATTTAGTCCCTTCCCAATGTTGAATATTTATCCCATTAATTGAGCATTATATAAAAACTCCAGATGAAAATTTAGTTAATAACTGAATAGAAATGCTGAAACATTACAACATTCAATCATCAAAAATAGAATTATTGACAACTTTACCTCAAGTTCAGGCAGTAAATGAAGAATTTCAGGCAGGGTAATGAGACGATTTTGATTTAATAAAAGTTTCTTCAACTTCCCACAACTGCAGAACAAACAAGAAAAATAATAAATAAATAAAACAAAATGCACATATCAAAACTCAAAGTAACTTTAATTTGTTGGGTTTTTTGTATCCCAAAAGATTTATCCTTAACATAAAATAATAAAACTCTTAAATATTACTATCAAAAAAGACAGCACAAGTAAACTTGATGACATATCAATAATTTGCTATCAGGCAGAATTATTAGCTGAATTTTGATTTAAAATTCTCATTATATGTTTGATCTATAGCAGGGGTCGGCAACTTTTTGCTGATTATGTGCTGACTTAGTGCTTTAAAATCATTCAGTGTGCCAACAGCATACGTATTTTGATACAAGTCAAGGTCAATATACCTGTTCTACAATATATTTTATATAGTAATATACAGTATATATAATATATATAGTATATATATTTTAGCATATATTAAAACTGAAACAGCTAAATATCTTCTTTGCGTTGTAGTAGTCATTTGTGGCTGCATGTCATTGGAAATTGCTTGGTGTGCCGTAAGTTGCCGACCCCTGATCTATGGGATTAATATTCAATTATAAAAATAAATATGTGTTATGTAAAATATTTTTTTTTTTTTTTTTAATCATGAGGATATGGATGAACTGAAATATAAAATTGCAATATAGTATCAAATATTTTGTTCTAAGTATATTATTCAAGTTTTTAATCAGAGAGATATCTAACATGCTAATAAGTGTAATTTGTAGCACAGTAACTCCTACATGTTCATAGTATTAAAATTTTCAAAATAGATTTTTTTTTTAGCAACCTTTAATATATATTATATATATATATATATATATACTAGGTTAGCCAGAAAGTCCTGACTCACTTAGGAAATGGAAAGAAAACAATGAATCTTGATCTGTCTGGTGGAATTTCCAAGGAGTACTGCATTTTGAATTTGTTCCACACAGTTGTGCTATCAATACTAAACTGTATTACTAGCAGCTAGACTGCATGTATAACAAACTAAAGGAGTACCTGCTTTGGTCAACTAAGCTTGGGCTTTGTTTCTAGGTTGACAGCGGAGATGTTCAAACAGATGGACGAGGTTGAGATTCTTCCACATTCACCATTCAATCCTGATGCTGCTCCGAGTGACTATGGCTTATTCCGCTCAATGGCAAACTTCCTCCGCATCCAGCGATTCAACACTTTTGAAGTGAAGGAAGCTTCTTTACAACTTTTGATTCAAAGCCAGCGGACTGGTATCTGGTACAGATTTGGATGCTGGCTGATCGCTGACAGAAGATCATCGGGAATGATGGACTTTATTTGAAGAATAAATGTTGGTGTTGCTCCATAAAATTTTCTTGTTTTCTTTTTGCTTCCTAAATGAATCAGGACTTACTGGCCAACCATATATTACTAGCTTAAAAGGCATCCTATTGGGTGGCATTTAAGTTAGCTCCTGTGGAGGGCTCTTCATTGGTCCTTCATCACAATAGGTAGGGAGGAGTAGATGTGATAAAGAACAATAAACTACAGAAGAACTCAAAATTGATTGCTGCATTTAAGTATTACATTAATATTTTAGTATATAAGATTACCTTTTAAAAGTTCAATGATAATTCTTCTGCCACCACTTAATTTAAAGACAATTTGATGTATGTAGGTCCTTACTTTCCATACAATTTTTTTTATTCCATGAGTGACTTTTGCTGGATTTTGCAATTAATTTCAATTATTCCCAAATTTATTTCTAAGTTATAAAAATTGTTATCGTACAAAAAAACAAAACAAAACAAAAAAAATGCTGAAAACAATTGTGGTAATGAAAACTTGGGAATCCAAATGTTCAGGATTTCTGTGCCAGATCCAGTCTGGAATGGTTTTAATTTGCTCATGGAGTTTGCCAGATTCCAAAATGGTATAATATGTTGGGCTACAGCCTCTTGGAGTAAAGTTGAAAAAGTGAGACACACTGACAATCGCATTTATTATATAGAATATTAGAAAAGGATATATACTTTATTTTATATATCAAGATTTAGGGGAAAAGTATGACTAAGTTGAAAAAGTTTTAGGACTTCATCAGATTAAATTTATGTTTATGTTGATGTGACTACACATATACACAAAGAAAAGGAGGATGCTGATGATTTTAAGTTTATTTTTAATATATGTTTTGGGTATATAATCTAGCTGATTTCCTTTAGATTCTTTTTCATTTACTTTTAATAATGAAAGTGATGGAAACATAAACAAAAATATTTGTGTGTTTGAAGGAAAAAAAAAAAAAAAAAGATAAAGCTCTTCACAGAAAAATTTTACTCTACAAAATATATCATTTATTATTATTAGCACCATTTTATTATATTTATTTATTTATTAGTAATTCTACTTCAACTGTGTACTTCTAATGCCTCTGCCTAAATCCTGAAAGTTATACTATTATTGGGTTTCTGGTTCCTTCTAAAGTCTTTTCCTTCTCTTTCACTTCCATTAGTCCTTTGTGTCTTAGTAGCATTATCACCTTGCTTGGAGTGAATTGATAAAAAAAAAAGTCTTAATCTCTTACCTTGTATAGCAGGTATTTCAGCTAGTTAAATATTGAAGCTATTTGTTTTATTATTTTATATTGTGTATTATTGTTGAAAGGATAATGGTTGGTGCCAAACCTTGGCCCAAAAGTGACCAGGAACTTACCGGCAGAGACCCTCTGGAATCATTTCTAAATTGTTATTTGTGGCACTGAAGATTTCCAGATTGTATAATTTCCCAATACTGGCAGGAATTCCATCAAAGTCAAGGTTGTTGCTGTTCACATAGAGTTTTTTCAGTGAGGCGAGTTTATGCAATGATGACTGAAAAATGGATAAGACGGTTAAACAACTTGAAAAATATTCCTCAATGAAATAACAGCAAAAAATAAATGGCCCTAATAATTTAAAACAAAAAACTTTCTATTTAAAGGTAAATCATCTTCTAAAAATCAAAAACAAAACAATTGACACTTCTAATAAAATAAAATTTTTCATTTGCAAAATCTGCTACAATTTTCTTTCTTTTTAAAATTCCATGTCTCTTCAGAGTATAGGCAATTGTGATTCTTCACAAATTCCTTTTCTTTATTATCTGTGAATTGCCGCGACTTCTTGTGAAAGATAGTGGAGTGGTTTCCCGTTGCATTCTCCACAGATTCATTTTCTTTATTATCTGTGAATTGTTATAACTTCTTGAAAAAGATAGTGGAGTGGTTTCTTGTTTGCTTTTTCTCAGCATTAAATTCAGAGTTGTCATTTTCATAATTATTTTTCTATGTACCTTCAGGATGTATGCGATCATGGCTCTCCACAGTTTACATTTCTTTATTATCTGAGAAGTATCATGGTTTCTTGGGAAAGATAGTGGAGTGGTTTTTCATTTTAATCTCCACAGTTTTGAATTCAGAGCTGACATTTTTCTAGACTATTGCCCTCCAAAATTTAAAGTGTAGCCTACCTTGCTATTTAATCAATAGCTGAGAGAAGAAATGTATTCATACCTTTCCCAAGGGTAATAGTGCTAAAGTGTATAAATTTGAACTTGGCTCACCACACATTTTCTGTGTGGCTGTTACACTACTCACACACTGCGTAAACAGAAATTGACAGTTTCCAATAAACAATACGAAAGGAAAGAAAACAGGGCAAAGATAATACCAAACAGACAATATATATATATATATATATATATATATATATATATATAAATAAAAATCGACTCTCCTGTCAAGATTCGACGTATGAGGGTCAAGCAGATCAGTTTCCAGGAAACCGACAGCCTGACACAGGCACATAAGATTTGATTATAGTGGTGAAGGCCTTGTGCAGGATCATCCACACTTATTGAAGGGACGAATACAGAGGCCTGGTGCACCGGATACCACAAGGTTCCCAAACGACCCTCCGCAGGTTTTGAATTCAGAGTTGTCCTTCTAGAACAGTTGCCATCCAAGGCTATAGAACCCAGTCTGTCCTGCTATTTTACCCATAGCTGGAGGGAGAGGAAGAGGATTCATACCTTTCCCAAGGGTATTAGCACATAAGTGAATGTAACGGATTCGACTGGAAATCGAACTCGGCTCTGCGATTCCTCAATCCAAGCCACTATCCATTACTCCACCGTGCCTCCTATATATATATATATATATATATATATATATATATATATATATATGTGTGTGTGTGTGTGTGTGTGTGTGTGTGTGTGTGTGTATAAGACAAAAGTAGGCAAAGCAACAGTAATAAGGCAAAAAGTTCAAAAAGTAAGAATGGTATTAGCACACAAATGGGATACAGACAAGTGATTGCAGAATTCTAAGACAAGAAGGAACAAAAATATGATATGGCCGATGAGACTAGGAAGTGGTCTCTCTTATTAATTAAGAAGAAATCCCAGCATGCATCTGTACAGTTTTGTCTGTAAATTTGGAGAGGTGGATGTTTTTGCAGTCATTCCAACTAGATTTCACTCTTTGCAATAACAACCAAGAAATGTGTAAAGAAAAATGTATACTTGAAAAAAAAAAAAAAAAAAATACTTTGTGTGGCATACAAAAGTATGAACAAAGGAATTATGGGTAATAGTGACGATAAAACAAGAGAAGAAAGTAAAACCAGTGATCATTTTTCTGAATTGGTGTAGGATTGAGGTACAGTAAATACAAGAAAAGAAAACCTATCAAAGAATAAAACAGATTGCTCTTAAACATCACAAGTCCCATAAGCCATTAATAGCAGATGTCAATGATCTGATCATAATATTCCTTGTGCATCAGGAGTTGTAAAGTTATACAAAATCTAGAGAGACAAGAAAACTTATGGCTAGAAGAAAAACAAATCTAACCATTTCTTTTTTTCTTTGATTGTTGAGCAGAATATTTGTTATTGTTTTTAGATTTGATGATGATGATAAAGATTAAAAAAAAAAAAGTGAAAACGAGAAGAATCATAATTTTGATTTTTATTAGATAAGGTATTATCAACCATTTATTCATGGTTTATCAACCTTTTGAAGGTTATTTAAAGCCAGAAAATATACTTGGATAGTAAGATTTTTTTCTTTGGAGATAATAATGATTTAGTGATACAAGTCTAACTAATTAGCTGTGGGAAGGGGAAAGGTTCTTGGCATTGGTGTTGATATTTAGTTCCTGATCCTTGAAGAATTTGATTTTTTTCTAAATTGGTCTGTTTGTTGTGTGTCGGTGTCACATATGGGGATAACTATGTTGTCTCTGTACAGAGCAGTGTTCATGCTATTCAAAAGTATACCCAAGTCATCACAGTAGCAGAATTCCAAACAATTGACAAGCTTCTGCAAAATCAAATGCTCCCATTGCTATAGAGAAGTTTGGATTGTCTTTTTTGGTCCACATAGAACCACTGTGATATAAAATGGGTTTCTGGGCTTCCTTAATTTCCTGGTTGGTGATGATGTATTAATTATTGGCCAGGGTTATAGCTGCCATTAACAGGTCATCTGTGATCAACGGGTAGAAGTTAGTAATGTCAAATTGCATGAAGGTGCATTCATTTTTATTTTTTTTAAACATTATGCAAACAATTGACCCATTTGTCCTCAATTAGACCTGAAGAGCAAAAATCCAAAAACATGTTGCATTCTTATTTTTTGTTATTTTCTTGTTTATTGTTGTTATTGTTTGAATCACCTCTTTAGGGTGATTTATTTTTTATCCTTGTTCATGTGTGTGTGTATATATATATATATATATATATATATATATATATATATATATATACACACACACACACACACACAACTTTAATGTGGTCGGTTTTATAGCATTAATAAAGTTTTGTACCCCCCATAGACAATTTAGTTGATAATGCTTCATCTAATTAAAATATAAGATTTTATTAAATTATTAAAATGAGATTTTGTTTTTAGCTTAGGTTTCTTTGTTCCAAACATGGAGAATATACTTACAGGTAAACAAGAAAGTTTATTTCTTGAAAGATTCAATGTTTCCATATTTACCCAAGTGTCTGAAAAAGGAAAAAAAATGTACTTGCATGAATAAAATATTGATAAAATATTTAAAAAAAAAAAAAAAAAAAAATAATATGTAATAAAACATTTAAAATTAAAAAAAAAAAAAAAAAAAAAATATATATATATATATATATATATATATATATATATATATAAAACACACACACATATATATATATATATATATATATATGTGTGTGTGTGTGTGTGTGCATGTGTGTAGAGTTGGGTGGTTTGGCAATTTATGTTTTGGTATCGGTTTCCTTTTTTTTCTTGATACCGCAGTTTTCGATTTGTTTTTTTGTTTTTTAATTTGGTATTTTTGCTTTTTAAGGAAACCATTCATTTTCTTGTGTAATGATAGCATTTCCAGTCGATATCTGATTTTGTTTGAGATTGATAAATTTGCTACTTAGTCTGTTCAACTCGCAATTTATCATGTATTTCTGGTCCAATCTTAAAAATATTCAATGTTTCTAAATATGTAATTTGTATGTGCTTTTATTCACTGAATTATTGTTTTTTCTTTTTTTCTTTTACAGCAGGTATTTTGCTTTGAACAGCTGAAAATACAAAATATGATTTCCTCCACCCCGAGACTAAATTTTATACTTACTTTGATTTGCAAAATCAAAGTGATCAATCTTTATCAATATTCTTGAAATTGTACACTCAAGACACATTAAACTACAATCAGGAAGATGTTCATTTCTTCTCTGACCCAAGGAAGTGAATTCCTTCAAAAATTATAAAGCAAAAAAAAAAAAAAAAAAAAAATTGTCCGACATCGACAGAGATTGTATTTCAATTAAAGTTTATTTATTAAACTTTGGAATAAATTGTCAACTATAAATAACTACCATATTTATTAACAAATTGGTAAAATGCAAAAGAAATTGTCCCATAAACTACCTATATTTTTGTGTCTTTGGACAACACATTTAAGAGAGATAATGGTATAGCTCACCAGAAATTAGTTTATGATATGGCTTTTAAAAAGCACCACCCCCCAAAAAAATGAAACCTGTCATGTTTTTAAAAATATTCTTTTCTGATACACCAGTCAACTGTTATTGGGATTTAGCAAATAAATTTCTTCTAAACAAGGAAAATCAAGGAGTTATTTTTTCCTCTAAATAAATTTGTTTATCTAGTGAATATACAAAAATAATTAAAAACATTTAATTTAATTTTTAGAATGTGTAGATTTCCAAATCTGCGAGTATCACCTGTTCTTTTTAGATACACATTTTAAAACCGAAATTAAAAATTATTTTAATCTAATCTTACTTAAGTATATTTTTGCTAGATAAAACTGTAAAGATATTTGTAAAAATAAAAATAGAATTAATTTTCCTTGTTTGAATTTTATAGGCAGAACACCCACCGAACTACAGTGGCTAAAAAAGAATAATTTTTACTTTGAAAAATGACTTGTAGTTTTTAAAATATACACATTTTAAACCTGAGATTAAAAATTACTTTATTTTTTTTAATATTTAATTTTAGGTGTATTTGCTAGATAGAAACATCATTTTATTTGTAGAAAACAATTTTATTTTTAAAATTACAATAGAGACTTGCATACCTGGAAATATACAAATTTCAAAAGTGAAATTAAGAACTATTTTAAGTTTTAATTCTTATTATCTAATTTTTAGGTGCATTCCTTAGATAAAAAAAACAAATTTATTTATAAAAAGAAAAAAAAAAAGATTTTGGTTTTGTAAAAAATTTGATGCAGTTACACAGTGTGAAGATGAAACCGAAAAAAGTCAGTTTTTCGGTTAAACTGCACATCTCTAATATTGTGACATACCTCTGATTATGTTAGCCATATAGGCATAAAGCTAAAAATCCCAAATCCTATTTCGAATGATAGTTAAATAAGAATATATAAAAATAAAATACAATGTTTTCAACTTGTGAGTGAATATATTCTATGAACTGACTTCCCCTCCTTTTCTCTTCACTTTCTTTCTGGCTTTCCTTCTCTTCCATCCTCATTCCAAGGGCCCATGAACTTTGAGGTGATCCAACCAGAGAATGACCATGTTCTAAAATCACATGACCATCAGGTGATTGACCATGAGTTAACAAGCTGCCATGTTGCAATCACATGATTAGACCTTACTGAGGATTGCTGGGATCTTTGGCCATCACTCAAACTCACTGTGAGTTGCATCCCATCCTCCTACATACCCAGTCAAGGATGAAGGGAAAATCACGTGACAAACTTTGGGGACAGCAAAAATCTAAAAGAAAAAAAGGCAGTTTCCTGTCTGACCAGTGGCAGACAAATATCACACAGATTCTTAATGGACTGGACACCAGAATAAAGAAAACAGCAAAGTCTGTTGACTACAGATGGAAAGGGCTATATACTAAGTCAAATTGACCAATGAACGTCCGTATGTGTCGCTGTAGATCCCAGGCCATTCCAAAACAAGACAGATAAGTTGCTTTCCTGGCTTGACCTTATTCTTGTTATATATATATATATATATATATATACACATATATATGTATTCACTTGTAGCTTCTGTTCTTTTATAATCCTTTTCCTCTTGGTTAGACAAATTTTTCTGTTCTTGTAAATAAATGTTCCATTTTGAATCTTGTGTTTTTTTGCTGACGCCCTGTGTGTCACTTCCATCCCTGAGTGAATGCTGAAAAAAAGGATCCCACTTTTTCCATTTTTTTGAACCTGTAGTTCACCTATATATGGTCCATACAATATATATATATATATATATATAATATATATATATATATATATATAATATATATATATATATAGAAATAATATATATATATATATATATATAATATATATATATATATATATATAATATATATATAATATATATATATATATATATATATATATATATATATATATATATATATATATATATTATATAATATATATATATATATATATATATATATATATATATATATATATATATATATATATATATATAATATATATATATATATATATATTATATATATATATATATATATATATATATATATATATATATAAAATAATATAAAAAATGTAATATAATAAATATAAATATATATATATATATATAATATAAAATATATATATAATATATATATATATATATATATATATATATATAAAAAAAATAAAATAAAAAATGTAACCTAATGTACATACTTATACTTGATGTAAAAATAATACATACTATAAGGGATTCTAATACATTTCACTGTTCTTAAAAAAAATATAGTATAATAAAAATTAAAAATGAGAATATTTCAAATCGTAGTTAAATAAAAAGTATTCTAATCTGAACACCCGTGAAAATCTTTAAATTTACAAATAGAAAAAAATGCTGTAAGAATTTTTTGCTGTTAACAATAAATTTAAAAAAAATCCAGACAACATGCATTCAATGGATGTCAGTTTTCATTGTAAAATACATCCCTACCCCTTACCAAAATGTAGCTAATAACCGATACAATGATGCAGACATAAGGAAAACCCAGACACCCCTTGTCCAGTTGAAGTAGATTTATCTGTAACCATGGAAAAGTGATTTTAGCTGTGTCTTTAAAACCCAGTAATTACTCCAAAATTTGCTTGAGGATGAAATGGAACTAATGTCTTTAATTTAATTGCAAAATTAAATTCGTGGCTTTTAGCTTCCATTTTTGAAACATGGTTAGAATTGTGTAGTGGAAAAAAAAACATATTTTAAATCAATTTATATATATATATATATATATATATATATATATATATATATATATATATATATATATATATATAACACCCATCTACCTGGCCAGAGTTATCCTGTTGATCTGTTAGGTGAAACCTAGGTAGATGGGTTCTGGCTCTTGAGGTATTCTAGTTTTTGCTCTACTTAGTGTAATGAGCACTTTTACGCTTCACCTTAGGTTATTCTGTTGGTGTTTTTGCTTTTGGCAGTGCTGGTTGATTATTTTCAAGTGTCATGGATGTTTTTAGCCTTTTCTTTTTTTATTGAATTTTTTTTAAAACTCATATCAGTTTGTCCAATATTTTTTATTTACAAATTGTATTATCTGAGTATAGGTAAATATATATCTTGAAAATATATTTCAATTGAGCACTGTTGAATGACAAGCTAATTCTATAAACAACAGCCACCTGCGCTAATGCAAAGCTCTTCAGTAAAATGAATTGAGCCCTATAGCTAACTGGCATTTGTTTACATTCATAAAAACAATACACTAGATTTAGCTAGCTCATTCAGTTGAATGAAGATAGCTCAGTGGTAGAAACTCTGACTGACACCAAATTGTTTGGGTTTCAATCCTGGCTTGAGGCATCTGGATGTCTAGTCACACTGAGGAGCTGTGAAACAGCACTCTCTGCTAATGACATATATATAAAAAAATTTAAAAAAAAAAATTAATTCCATAATGAACAAATAAATGCATCACATGGCACCATGGAGAAAAAAAAAAAACAAACATCACCAGTATCAAGGATAATAACTTGAGTAATGGATATTGGCTCAGATTGAGGAGAGCTGAGTTTGAATTCCAGTTGAGTTTGTTACATTCACTTACGTGCAAATGCCCTTGGGAAAGGCATGAATCCATGTCTTCTACGCCCAGCTATTGGTAAATAGTAGGACTGACTGGCCCTATAGCCTTGGGTGGCAACTGGTCTAGAAGGACAATTATGAATTAAAAACCTCCAACTATGGTTAAATAATAGGGAAGAGTGGGTTCTTCAACCTTGGGTGGCAACCAGTCTAGGAGAACCTTGATAAACACTTGGAGTTAGGAAATCTTGAGACTGGAACTTTAACTCCATTTGCCAGTTCCACATTCTGTACCAATAACCATTACATACTGCCCCAGAAAAGAAAACATCTTACACATAAATATCCAAGTCTGAAATGTGTATATAAATATGTTATATACATATTCTTTACAAAGGAATCTGCTGATATTCTATCGCTGCACTATTGAGAGTGTACTAGTGTATTGCATGAGATGCTTGGCTGTGGAGGAGAGAGCTCTCCAGTGGGTTATAGATATTGCCAAGAAAATAATCAGCTTGGAGGACAGTTATAATTCTTGTTGCAGCAGAGCAGAAAACATAATGAAAAACATTACATATCGTAGGCACATTACCCCTAGGGTGACAGTTTAGTTCTATTAGTTCTAGGATAATGCATTTGTGGGACAACATTTACTCTTTGGTCCTGTGCAAAATGAAACTGTTGCACACTGGCAATTTTCAAAGTATTTCAAACTTATTACTTTTCTTCATTTGATGCATGTATTTTTTGCATGTGCGAGTGTGTATGTTGGTGTACCAGGGGACTGCTGTCCAATTATATCGCACATTGCACAGTGACAAGAAGAATATATAAATAAAAAACAATTTTGTTATTTTAATTTGGCCATTATTTTTTTATTGTTTGATTCCTTTTCTATGACTTTTCAACTATTTACACTTTATTTAAAAGTCAGAAAATATTTTTAGATTTTAGGAATTTTTTTTTGTTTTTTTAGAGATAATGGTTTCATGATACAAGCCTTACTAATTAACCCATATCTGGGAGTAGATGAGGTGGATTTGTACCTTTCCAAAGGTTGCGTAAGTGAATATAATGAACTCAACAGGAATTGGAACTTAGCTCTCCAAGAACAAATTTGAGCCATTATCTATTACATCACCTGCTCATCCAAGCTTACAGCACCTGATATCCCCAAGTGGTCACCCATCTAGGTACTGGCCAGACTTGATGTTGTTTAACTTTGGTTACTGTATGGTAAACAGTGTTTCAATATGATGTGCCAACAAACCTGGCCTTTATTTTTGCAGATAACCTATGAAGAAACTTTTGGGTTAGCCAAACAGTTTGGTAAAAAATTTGAAAACATTTTGGCCAACCTAATAGAAGACTGAAAGAATGATGGAAGCAATTAAAAGAATGCACAAACCAATAAGAGAAGAAAGTTCACTAATTTCATTATTGCTCAGGTTGAACCTTTTCAAAGATTTCAAATTGTACAGGGCTTCAGGAACTTTTGGCAGATTGTTGTAAGATAAATCCACATCTGAAATAGAAATTCAAAGAATAAGGAACTGAAGTATGTTGTTTATAAGGAATGGTTGGTAAAACATCAGCCAGTTGCCAATTGATTCAAACTTTATAAAATGGTAAATAATAAAATTCTCATATTTTAATAATTTAGTAAATGCTTATAATTTATAAATAAATTTTTTTTTCATATTTCTTTATAAATTGGTCAATGATATTTATTGTATTAGTTTTTAGAATGTTGTAAATATAAAATTATTCTTGTAAAAAAAAAAAGATCTAATAAATAAATAGTGTTTAATATTTTTATTGTAAATTCTTAAGAAAAAAAAAAGTTTAATTTCACTAGCACATCATTGCTGAATAGTGAAGGTAGTTAAAATAATAGCAGTGTCAAGGGAAAAACCATCCTTTTAACACACTGTTTTTTTTGTGGGCACAAAGGTCCACATTTTTTTGTTTTGTTTTGTTTTTTTACATAAGTATTAGTTTGGCAAACTCAAAAATACATAATAAATGAAATTGTGATTTTCTTGTATGTATTTTAATTAATAAAATTTAAATGCTTTTGTCTTAGTTTTTTTGTTTTTTTTGCAGGCACATAGGTCCATGTTTTCCAATTGTACTTTACAGGAATATATTTATTCCATATAAAAACATCCTTACAATATTACATTTAGGATTGGTTTAGTTGCAGGAAAATTGTCACTATTGCAGCCAACTGCCTTTGGAACTCTACTTTGGGTTTTCTGTCTTCCGGGATGATTTTATTTTATTTATTTTTTTTTTTTAACCAGCAAAGTCTAAAGCAGTCTCACTGTATTCACATTAATTTCACTTCATACAGCATTTCAATAAATGGCATTTATTTCTTTGGAAAATGGCAATTCACAGAGTGTGAAATCTATATTCTCAATGAGTTTGAGAAATTTATGCGATCTGATATTTGATGAGAAAAACATAAGAACCTGCACAAGTCATTAGTATTATCTATATGTTCAGTCATTATCAGACAGTCACAAAAGGCTGAGTAATCCCATAAGCGAGTCCATTCATTTATTTGCAATAAAATTTCTTTGGTCAAGTTATACAAAGGCTGTACAACCTGTTCTTAAAATATTCAACTGGAGATGTTCTGAACAAACCTCATGTAACCATCAATGCTCTTTGCTTACATACAGAGAAAATGGTCTGTGCAGGACTGGATCTAGGAGGTGTGGGGCCCCAATTGGGTATAATAGGGTAGGCCCCTAAAATGTTGTGTTTATTGTCATTTATTATGAATTATGAGTTCTCCTTACCTTCAAGATTTACCAAACTGTCCAAACTCTGGGGGAAGTGATTGAGTGTTCTCTCGGAATTTCTCATGTGTAAAGTTGTTAATGATACCAATGCAGGTAGCTGACTGAAAAGCAGAAAATCAAAGTTAAATAAGAAAAAATTAAAAAGCAATGATATTCCTATTCTATGACTGCATTACTTCCAGACCACTAACAATCTCTCCCTGAATTGTAAGGAATTTTGATAATAAAATTATTAACAATGCGTTTTCATTTCGCCTGATGAGTGGACAGAGCGATTACTGGAGGGTTTGTCTATGAAACTCTGGAGCAGGAATGCTGATTGATATCAGCTAAGTGACAAATTATATAGATATATATATATATATTTTAAGACATTTTTATGTTTATACATTCTTTTCATAGATACAAATATTTAAGTAAATGCTATGTTTATATCAGTTAGCAAGGTCGAATTTACTGTATTTAACAGAACGCTCCTCTGTGGCCAAATTGGTAAAGGTACATCAAGCTAAATGACGGTTCTGTATAGGGTACATGTAAAAAAATGGAGGACTAATATTTTCTATGAAAATCTCTCAGACATTCAAATATTACAAAATGTTGTTTAATACTGTTTATTATAAACATAGCATTTACTTAAATATTTGTATCTATAAAAAGAATGTATAAACATAAAAATGTCTTAAAATAATTGTCGGACTTTGTCCATTTCATAATATATATATATACATACACACACACACACACACACAAATGAATTTAAGATATCGCACATTGAGTGCTGGCATTAATAAAATAGTGCTCAATATAATATAACAGAGCTATTAAATAGTGTACCCATGCCATCAAAATTGATGGCAAGAAGGAATGCAAAAGTGATAAGCAAAGCTGTCCAACATCACAAAAATCAAACAGTCACATATATCAAGGCTAAATAATCCCACAAGTGAGTCCATTCATTCATGTGCAATAAAGTGTTTTTTAAGTTATATGAAGGCTATACAACCTGTTCTTAAAATATTCAACTGATGTTCTGAACAAACCTCATATAACCACCAATGCTCTTTGCTTACATATGCTGAAAATGATGTGTTGTAGGGCCAAATTGGATACAATAAGGTAGGCCTCTAAAATGCTGCATTTATGATAATTTTAGGATTAAGGAAAGTGTATTTTAAAAGTATATATATATAACATGATATATTTATGCAGAAATCATTTCAAGTTATATATGAAATCAAAATGTAATCAAAAGTTAATATTTTTGGTTTCTTCTCAGCAAAGTCTTTCAGGATCTCATTAAAAAATCCAACATTTTTATCTCACATTTTATGGAGCACCCTGTACATTTGCCAGTAAAACACTTTTTTTGTAGAATGCATATTTTCAAAAATAGCCATTTTCATATATTTTACACACACTGTATATGCATAATGATACCAACTTGTGTTGAAATCCTTGCAGTATTTAGTATTGTTGAAGTTATTGCTAACAATTTTTGTAGAGATTTACAAACTGTGTTGTTAAATTTTGCAAAACAATCATTTTTTTAATTTTATAAGACATCATGGTAAACAATATTTAAGAAAATTTATTTTTTTCCTTTTTACCAGTGAAGAATACATTAAGATTTCTTACTCTTAAGCATGCAACATACAACTGGCCATGCATAAATATTTCTTTATTGAGCCAAATACCAACATTTTGAAGCATTTGTCCTTGTGATTTATTTATAGTTCTTGCAAACACAGGGCAAACTAGAAACTAGATTCTTGATGAAAGAAAATTGGGGTTTGCAAAGTTATGAAAAAAAAGTAGTCAAAATTGAGTTGTTTTCACTCGAAAACAACCGATTTCAGCTAATTTAGGCAGCGTACGTATAGTCAGATTAAAAAAAATTTAATACTGTACTTTGTACACCTTTACCTGTTTGCACTTCTCCCCAGAATTTGGTTTTGATTGGTCAATGTATGGATATTTTAGAGGGTGTGATGGATGGACTTACGGAAGTCACAGAATTTTATATATAGATTGTTATGTTACTCTTTTTGTCTGTTAATTTTTTTAATTAAGGTACATTTTAGATTTCCCATTTTGCCCTCCTGTTTATCCTGGAGTAATTACCAGAACTAGCAGAATAAGCCACAGAGTCAACACACAATTTCCCTACTTTCTTATCCTCCTAAATCTATCCTCTCCAAAATAGATACATAACTTTTTCTTGTTGCATTGGTCTCATTTAATATCCTACTATTTGAACATTTGTTTAGGGTGACCACCTTGAATAGATTTATTTTATCAACTGTACTTCATCATTAGAATCCCTTTCAATTGCCATATTCACACTGTGTTATAATGTTATTTCATGTAACTTTCTTCCTTTCTGTAAACATATCACTACAAAAAGGAATGTAAAACATATTCCTGTAAGCAAACTACTTGTTACCACTTTTATCTATTTGGACCTATAAGTCTCATAGATATGTTCACTTTTTGGGCCTCTTTGTCATATTTCTTCTTTCCTTTTAAACACATTTATTTAATTACTTTATTCTAAACTAAATCTCAGTTTTGTATTTATTTCATTTTCTAGATTCACACTTTTTTTTTTTAATAAACTTTGTCTTCTGAATTTTGATTGCCCTATCCATTGTATATCATTTACAAACCAAAGTTAAATGCATTCGTAAAAAAAGTAATTGATAGTAATTGAAAAGCAATGCAACTGGGTTTTTTTTATTTGTAAAATTTCAAATCAATGATCCTTTCTCGGTTTTTAACTACTCACCGTAATTGTGTATGTGCCAAAGGATTATTGTTCAGTTTCAATGTCTGCAGACTGACCAACCTTCTGATCTGAGGAGGAATTGTTTCTGAAAACACAAAGAAATAAAAACTTATTAAATTAATTCATTTCTTTGAAACAAATTTCCAAAAATGTAAGAATTATTTAAAATATTTTTGCAGCGGTACAAAATTTTATTAAAGCAATAAAAACAGACATGTTAAAACCCAAGGAAAAATTAATAATGAAAAAGTGGAGTAACAAAAATTAATATCAATATAAAGTTGTAATATCAAAATAATATTAAGAAAAAAAAAAGACAGTATTCACAAGGTAGACAATTTGCATAAGTACATGAATATAATTGGTTCAGAAATAACTGAACACTTGCTAAAAACCAGCAATGTCCCCCAACTTTAAAAACCAAAATATGTTCTCAGTACTGAGAATGGCTAATTCTGAATTTCATTTGAAAATGTTGGAAACTATATTAAGGCAGACCAGCCATCTCTCTGTAAGCAGGAGTGGTTGGTAGGCTAAAAGGTAATTAGCTTGTAAGTGTTATATTTCTTTTATATAATATTTGGTGTCTGTTCATTTTTAGTCACTGAGCACATTTTTTGGTCCTTGATCTAGCTCTGTTGAGAGAATATTGATAAACTGATTTAGTGGTCTTTTGTTAATCATGTTGTATTTTGATATTACCACTTTAAAGTAATACTATTTTTGTTAACTATCTTTTTTTGTCATTAATTTTTCTTTGTGTTTTAACATTTTCATTTTTGTCACTTTAATAAAAAAATTTAATGAATACCATCATAAAAAGCAACAAATTACACATATGAAACAACTGCAAATATGATGATATGCCATAGCTGATGATTTAACAAAAAAAAGTAGTATAACAATTTAGGCAAAAAAATGACCCTATAATCCTTTCCATTTCCCAGAGCAGTGATTCTCAACTGCCATGACGCACAATCCCCTTAAGTGTGCTGCGAAATATTGTCACAGTGTGTGTGTGGAAGTAGTAATGGTACAGCGTTAGTATTTGAATAAATAAATAAGTATGAAACTTTTTCAAATAATTCTTTTCACTATTCTTTGTTATTTTAAATACTTTGTTTTAATATTCATTTTTTAAAAAGTATTTTTATTTTTTTAAGGGTTCAAAATAAAACATTCAACGGTAACGATTGATGCATTTTGGATTTCAACACAAAAAGAATATCCCACATTAGCTAAAAAGGCTTTATCAGTTTTATTGCAATTTTCTACTTCTTATTTATGTGAATTAGGCTTCTCAACCCTAACATCAAAAATAAGAAGTGAGAAAAACTATGCTCAACTGAAGAAGAAAAGAGGGTCTGCTTATCACACATTTGACTAAACATTGAAGAAATTGTGAAAAACAAAAAAAAAAACAAAAAAAAACAAAAAAAAAACACAGATTTCACACTAAATGAGCTGCATAAATAGTTGAACAGAAATATTGATACAAAGTAAATTCATATTTGTGTGTTTATTTATTTTTTTTTTTTTACATCTATGCTTTTATTTCATAACATTTAAATGTATACCCTTTAAAAATTTTGCTAAAGGTGCCGTGATATTTTTATTTGTTCCTAGGTGTGCTATTGCTTAAAAAGGTTGAGAAACACTGACTTAGGGTAAAGAGATTTCCAAAAATGAGGTGTTTGGATAGGATATTTTTAAAAGAAATGAATGTGAGAAAAAGGCTTAAGAAAAAGGCTTCTCAAGATTGTTTTCAAACAATCAGAAGAGCAGAATTTGAAACCCAAGACAATTTTAAAAAGTAGCTTAGTTAGCCAGCTGGCAGTAAGTAGTCAGGGAAGACATAAGTCAGCAGATCAAGTTACTTTAGCAGTGAGTTGTTAAAGGAGGGTGCTGGATTCCAAGATACCATGGGATCTGTAAGGAACTCCAGGATAACTAAGAAAATCTTAAAAACAGATAATTTGGGACATGTTTGTGTGAAACAAACCCACAAAGTTAACCTTAAAATATGAAAACTACTCACTCTCTTAAACTATGATTGTACAAGGCTGTACCAACTTCTGAAAATTTACTCACATTCATTCAGATATCCTTCCACTCAAGACACTCTTCCTGCATTTATCAACCCCTGAACAGTTCAACAAAATTTAACAGAACCATGTGACTTTCACTGGTATCACACTCTCTACCAAAGATTTTTATAATTTCTACTACAGAAAGTCACCACTTTCCTATGAACATTTTTTTTCTGTCCAGCTTCATTTTTTAGGTGCTCAAAAGAATATTTTTACTGTTCTTTTCACATTATTTATTGTAAATAAACAATTTCTTTGTTTCAGTTTCTCACTGAGTATTGTGTAACTACAGAGCTCTTAACTAATTTTCTTTTTGTATAAAGGAAAATACTCACAGTAGCCAACAGTAACAATCTTAAACTGATTCTTTTGGTTTCAATTCTTACTGGAATGACTGCAAAACACTCCCCTCCACAGTTTATAGGCAGAAGCACACAAATGCATGCTGGGATTTCTTCCTAGCCAATAAAATAGGCCATTTCTCGGTTTCATCTGACTCAGTTCTGGTCTGTCTTGCTTTGAAGTCAGAATGCTACATTTGCTTATTCAAATAAGTTTGTGAACTTTTTGTCATATTTCTGTTGCTTTGCTGTATTACTGTTACTTTGCCTTGGATGTATTGTTTGCTTGCTTTATATAATATTTTTTGCCCTGTTCTTTTCTTTTCCTTGCTATTGCAAACTTTGTCAATTCTGTTGGGCAGTTTTTGCCATTTATTTTACATTTAACCATGGCCACTCACTCTATAAATTCAATGTTTGTTTTTTATTTTTTCTAAGATTCTCAATGACAAATTGGATAAAACCAGATTTTCAAGACTTTTGAGACAGCCAAGAATTTGCTCCCTCCTTACTTTCTTAACCCCACCCCCCAAAATGGATAAATTAATGATGGGTTATCACTCATGCAACAAAGAAACACAAAAAGATCAAAATAAGGAAAGCGTGTTATCTTGAATCAGCAATAGGCATTACGTTTGACTCACTTATGTTTATCTGATTTTACCATAACTGATTTTGCAAGAATGTTATTTGAAGTTCATTTATATTTTTGTATCTACTAGACTTTTTTGCAGCACACTGACATATGTTGAAACCCTCACAGTATTTAGTACTGCTTAAGTTATCACTATTTTTTGCTGAGATTTACAAACTCTACAGTTCATTCAATTTTGCAAACCCATTGATGAAATTTGAATAAACTAATTTGTTTGGAAAAATACTTTGACAAAAACCCTACTTCATAGTTTAATAATTTCTTTAATTTAAATTAATTTTATAAGATTTCATGGTAAACAATATTTTTTTAGAAAAGATTATTTTTTCCTATTTAACAGCGAAGAATAAATTCTTAGGATTTCTTACTATTGATCATACAACATACAACTGGCCATGCATAAATATTTCTTTCTTGAGCCAAATTCCAACTTTTTAAATGTTTAGCCTTGTGACTTGTTTATACTTCTCACAAACACAGGGTGAACTGGAAACTGGATTCTTGTATATGTAAAAACTTAAAAAAAGATATTTAATAAAAATGCAATATTATTTTTTTTGCATAAGTATTTATTATTTTAGTCATTAAATTTTTGTTTAAATAGTGGGAGTATTTTGTATGTTAAATAATAAAACTTTTAATTTTTCCAAAAATATTAATGAAAATTGTACTAAGCTGTATTTATTTATATGTTTGCACTGCTCCCAAAAATTTGGTTTCGATCAGTCAATGTATGGCTATTTTTTTAGAGGGTGTAACAAATGGACTAACGGAAGTCACAAAATTTTATATATAGATAGATGAAATCTCTTTGCTAACTCACATGAGAGCTCTTGTGCATGCATAATGAATTTAACATTGATAATTTGTACCCTGTACTGTAAGTAACAAATACCTTAAAATAAAGGGATCAAGAGATACCTTGCTATTTGAATAATAAATAATAGTCTTTACTCAGATTGTAAATTGTTGTAAACAGATCAGGTCCTGATGTTTGCAGTTATTATTTGTTAATATTGTCAAATAATGTCACTTTATCAGAGTAAACCATGACATTTTAAGATATAGCCTTTATTTTTCTTTCATTTATTCTCACGAGAGATATCATCTTAAATAGTGTTTAACTTCATAGAAAACTCATCTTAATGTCAAAATGTGTGTTACTCCAGTTAAATCAGTCCGTTTCAAACAAACCAGCAAATATTTTCAGAGAATTTCTGAACTTAAAAAAAAAAACAAAAAAAAAAACAGAATTGAATTTGCCACTTAATAGCAAATATTTCCAGAAAATTTCAAAATTTGGTGCTGAAATTGTTAGTTATTTTCTACCAGTTCTGGAAATCAATGTCAGAGTCAGGTAAAAAAAAATAACCCAACAGGGTATACACACCCTAGTTGGAAAACAGTCATAAAACCATTTTCTCTCACACTAACGTATATTAGTATAAGCTAAACTTAGAAAATATGAAAAGTGGAAGTAAACAAGCAAAATTGATGAAACAACTTAGGAACTGAAAGAGTGATCACTGACAGTTCCTAACAACTTGACAAACTGAATACAACAGCATAAGTTTTTTTAATTTTTTTTATACTGATGTCCACCCAATACAAGACCCAAAAGCCACTCAAGGTAGATGGCATAAGAAAAGGCAAAAAGTTCATGGTGTTATGTTGAAAAAATAACAACCCTGAGTTCAAGATTGTAGTGATTGGGAAAACATCCTGCTGAGAGTGTGTTCCATAAAGCAGAAGTTCCTGGGAAGAAGCTGTCCAAGTGGAACTTACTCCTTACTAATGGAATACAAAGGGAAAGAAGATAATTTATTTTTGTTTATGTGTCATGGTGGGTCCCACCTGCAAAGGTCAGGGCTGGTGGGAACCAGAGATTGTAGTAAAACTTTTATAAAAAAAAATTGCTGGAAATTTTTTCAGTGTAATAATGCACAGTTGCATAAATACCTATAAAATATATGAGAGCAGTTTCAATAAAAAAACAACTTACCGAGTTTGTTATCACTGAGATCCAAGTATACCAAATCAGTACAGTTAACAAAAAGGTTGTTTGGTATGTTTTCAATCCTGTAAAAGGAATATAATAAAAATTAGTTGATATAATTCACTAATCAAGTGAGTATTGTTTTGAAAAAACAAAAGATATTACACATCTTGGATTACATTGAAACTAGACAGAATTCATTCTTAGGAAAAGCCCATATAATTGGAATAACAAAAATGGAAAAAAACTCCTATGTTACATGTTTCATCCTTGTAAAGGACTTCTTCAGACTAAAAATTGGTTTATTGATTGAATACATTGATAAAATCATTAGTCTGAAAAAGTTTTTTTGAAGTGAGAAACATGTACTGTAGGAACATTTTCTATTTTCTCATTTAATTACCCACTTTATATATATATATATATATATATATATATATATATATATATATATATATATATATATATATTACACACATACAAAAGATAAAGACCAAATAAGAAACATATCAATCTAACATGTTTCATTTTTATTAAGGCTTTGTCAGAAAACAGACAAAAAGACAGAACTTTGATATTTTAAATTTTGGGGTCATTTCTTATTAGTCAGTCATGTATCATGTGCATTAAAACCATACAAACTTACATACATATAGAATTATCTACAGTTTTAATGCATGAGATATGTAACTGACCAATAATAATACACACACATATGGGCAAACAAACATATGCACATGTGCAGGCACACACACACACACACATATGCATATAGACATAAATATATACACACACAACTTCATTTAAGGAATAAGTACTGCCATTTGACACATATATACATACATAGACAGTAAAAAGTCATACTCACTGGTTGTTGCTGAGATTGAGTACTAATAAGCCTTTGACTTTTTCTAGTTGTTCTGGTACTTCATTTAGATTATTATGGCTGAGATCCTGAAATTAGCAAAAACAGGACAAAGGTCACTTTACAGTCAACAATTTTTCAATATTGCAAAAACAGAACTTCTTCACCCCACCACATAAAAAAACTAATGAAATAAAAAAAAAAAAAAAAAAAGAAAGAATGATTGAAAAGAGTATCTTAGCACACTGATTGCTATATAAAGATCTTTCAATTCCAACATACTGTTAGGTGACTAATATAAGGGAGTTAGGGGTTGGATTTTTTTAAAATATTCAATAAACAGGGAGTCTTAAAAGTTAGTAGTCAGAAAATCATTTAAAGCAGGGGGTTCCCAAACTTTTTTTTTGCCTTATTATCTACTTTCACATGGAGAAATTTCCCCCCACATACTGTATATTAAATATTCAAAAGCATACCAAAATTGTTTGGTAAGTTTGTGACTGGTTCACAAACTGACTTTATGATGTAGCAAAAAATACCAAAGGGAGGTAACAAATAACACTGATTTAGCAGCAACTGATGCTGTATTAAAGAACAAGTGAAAGCATACTTGACTATTGAAAACTATATATATATATATATATATATATAAAATTTAGTTTTATGGTTAGTGTTACAAGTATTGACAAAAAAATTAAATGATTATATGTTCATAATTATAAAATTAAAAAGAATATACACAACTAGCAACTAATAAAAATTCAGCAAATATTTTTCATTTCGTCTGAAGAACTATTGCAGGGATATTTATATCTCATCTAGAAATATGACTCAATTATTCCCATTCAGCCTCCTTTTTTTATGCAGGTTCTTTGCATATCTCCTTTGAATATCTTTTTTATTTGGGGGGGGGGATAGCATCTGTTGAAATACATTTTTAATACTTAAAATCATATCTCAACCACCATTTTCTGTTCAGTTACTCATTGCACACCCAACAGTTGAAATCGTCCACCAGTGAGTGATATCACCCAGGTTAGGAAATTCTGTTTTAAAGCATCTTGTTCTACTGATCATGTCTTGGAATATCTCAGTTTGGTTTGCTTAACAGAATATCAACTCCTTATGGGTCATTTAATACCAAAATTTAATTTTCTTGGGAGCTTTGGTAATTTTTTTCTTATTTTTCCAAAATGTATTGCAGCTAATTTTTTTTTCTATGAAAATGTTTATTGCTGGTAATGTTTTACAATGAAAATATATTTTATATTTTCATAATGTTTTAATCCCAGTTTGAGAGTTAACTATTTGCCCATACCTGGAAACAACAGTAATCAGAGGTTAATTTTCAATTTTTTTCTCTTCCCCCATAATAGCAAAGTGGATTATTGTTTATAAAGAGCTTGGCAGATATTTTTGTGAAATTAATCGGTCATTTTTCATATGATAGTAAAGATGAATTTACTAATGAAGTCACAATTAATGATTTAGTGGATTGTAAATATACAATGGGATACTCTGCCAGATTTCTACTGACCAAATACATAAAACCCTATATTGCATCTATTCTCATTTATGTCAGTGTGATATCAAAAACTGAGAAAGGCCCATTGCAAGCTTCCAGTTACATTGATGATATCAGATCATTTTTTTCCTCTTTAGTTTGCTTCCTTTTCTTTTTGTTTGTTTTGTTTAATGATATATCAGTTCCTTAGAGCTCATTTAATGGCTAAATTTAATTTACTAAGGAGCTTTGAAGTAATAAAAAATATGATATATCATTCTTCTTTCACAATTGAATACATGGTAGATGATACTCAGCTTTTGTGCATATATATGTTTGTGTGGACATAATTACTGATATGTGTGTTTTACATTGTAGTTTTGTGAAGTTATATTTTTGAGTACAGTTTGATTTCTTTAAGAAATTGTAGAATATTATAGGGATTAATGTAGAGTGTCAAGTTCTCTGTGATACAAAAAAAAAAAAAAAAACACAGAAATAAAGTAGAAAACAGAAAACATGGAAAATCATGGAAAATGGATTTTTGCTTCTAAAAAATAAAATATTCTGGTGGTTAGAGATGGGTAGTTTAACCAAAAATTGACTTTTTCTGGTTTCATCTTCACACCATGAAACTGCATCAAAATATTTTATGAAACCAAAATGGTTTGGTTTAGTGCTATCACTACTGAGTGACTTTCTGATGTTAATAAAATTAAATTTTATCAACATTTATACCATTGTAAGAAAAAAAAGATTGAACAAAAATATGCTAAAAACATTTGACTAGTTTTAGGAAATAAATGTGAAATCTATTTGTTTACAAAAGAAATGAAGAAGAAAAAGGAAATACGACAGATATGGCACTTGAAAATCATAGAATGTTTTCAAAGAGAAAAAAAAAGGAAAATATGACAAGATATCTGAAATCTATTTGTTTCAGTTTTCAAAAAGAATAAAAACTTTTTGTTGTAAAATTAAGTTAACAACAAAATAGCAAGTAAAAATTAAAAAACAGTTGCCAGTTTCATGTTAATGTTAAATTTTATGAAGTTGGATTTTTTTGTAAGGGTAATTGTTTTGTAGTAAGCCAGTATACTAATCATGAAATAAAGTTTTTGTAAACAAGAAAAATGAATGAAGCTTTTTTTTTTATGAATAAATTTGTTTTTTATCTAGCGAATGCACCTAAATTAGATATTAAGAATAATTAAAATAGTTCTTAATTTCACTTTTAAAATGTGTATATTTCCAGATATGCGAGTCTCTAGTGTAAATTGTTTGTTTTCTACAAATAAAATTGTTTCTATCTAGCAAATACACCTAAAATTAGATATTAAAGAATTAAGTTTTAATCTCAGTTTTAAAATGTGTATATTTCAAAAGTGCAAGTCATTTAAAACCCTAAGTAAAAATTATTCTTTTTTAGCCACTAGTGTTCAGTGGGTGTTCTGCCTATAAAATTCTTCTAAACAAAGAAAATTAATTTCATTTTATTTTTACAAATATTTTTATGGAAAATTTATTTAGTGAATAAAAATTATTATTTTATTTCTGGATATAAAATGGTTTTATTTTTTTTTAAAATAATTAATCTTTGAAAAAAAGTGTCTGTCATATCAAACATTTGGAAAAATAATTTGAATTTAGTTTTTAAACATTTAATTATCAGTTTATTTTTTTTTTTTTTTTTTTTATAATTTTTGTTAAACTTGATTCATTTTCAGAAGAAATGAACATCTTCCTAGTTGTAGTTTAAGGTGTCTTCTAATTGAGTGTACAATTTCAAGAATATTGATAAAGATTGGTCACTTTGAAAAAAACAAAGTAAATTAAAATTTAGTCTCAAAAAAAAATAAATAAATAAAATTTTTTTGCAAGCTGTTCAAAGTTGAAAAAATACTGTTTTAACTCAAAAAAAAAAAAAAAATAATTCAACAAATAAAAGCACATACAAATTACATATTTAGAAAGATTATTTTCTTTCCAGCCATGTAAATATTTTTAAGATTGGACCAGAAATACACGATAAATTGCAAGTTGAACGGACTAAGTTGCAAATTTATCAATCTCAAACAAAATCAGATATTGACTGGAAATGCTATCATTACAAGAAAATGAATGGCTTCCTTAGAAAGCAAAAATACTAAATTAAAAAAAAAACAAATTCAAAAAAATGGTATCAAAAAAAAAAAAAAAAAAAAAAAAAAAGAAACCAAAACCTAAAACATAAATTGCCAAACTGACCAACTCTATTGATGTTAAAATGTAAAAATTCCTTTTTTTTTTTTTTTGCCAGAATCATTATTTTCATAAATTTGCAATACACAGCAAAGTCAGTCACTTATTTAACAATGCTATGACCTATAAAAAAAAACATGTCATTCTATAAATAACATAGGTTATTTTCCATTAGAAAAATTTTAAGTTATTGTGATTTTTGCCATAACCAATTCATGAATTAACCTGGCCAAACTGGTCACCACTGGTTGCTTTGATGTTAAAAATCCATAAAAAAAAAAAAAAAAAATGAATAGTATTTGGCATGCAAACGTCAAAATAAGTAAAAAATAAAAAGTTGTTTGTTTAATAATTATAGATTTTTTTTAAATGCATGGTTGATTATCTTTCATGATGTGTAAAAAAACTTTTTAGCAAACTTGGTGGGTGCACACTTTCAGCAAAAATACAGAGCAAAAAAGCCAGCTTTCTGTGATGATTTTTTATCATGATGGTGATAAATTATTTTGAATTTTGTTTAACACCAAAGATTGGATTAAGAATAATGCTTGTGAATCATGAATTAACTGTTGAAACACAAAAAAAAAAAATAAGAGATGCTATATAAAAAACATATTGCCAAACTGACCACAAAACAAGTCTATTTTTCATGGGTTTTACAATTTTGAAATAAAAACAAAAAAATTAAAATTTACCATCATGGAAGAACATGAAATTTGATATTTTTTAGAACAATGAGAACATGCCACTCAAGATTAATGTCATAAAAGAGTTCTTTCATGTTGGTTGTTTTGTTTATTTTTTTAGTACCATATCAACCTTTATCAGTTATTTAATGCCAAAATCTAGATAATTTGAACACAATTGTATCCCTTCAACTATAGATAAAATGTATTTTATACTTTCATAGCTTTTTGTTTTTATTTGGGGGTTTACTATTTGCACATGGCTGGGACTCTAACAGGAGCTACCACCCCGGGTCAGGGTGGACCTGGGAACAACAGCAATTAAGAGGTGGTTACATGCTCCTCAAAACCGCCAATCTCCTGACCAGAGGCTTTGCTGCCAGATATAGATTATCGTCATACCCAGGACTAGAGGGAGAGAGAGAGAAATATTGGTACACTGAGAAACATTTTTAGTATTCTTAAATTTTTTCAGATTTTAATGCCATTTTCCTAAAAAAAGAATGCATATTTCTAATCATGACAAATAAAATTTAAAATTTTTAGGTCTCATTTGACCATATAGCTGACAAAGTCAGATTGCTATGTACAAAAATTTTACATTTTGTTTTTTTGTTGTTAAAGATAATAGTTTAGTGATATGAGTCTTGCTAATTAACTCAGATTGTCATTTGTTCAAGTTGCAACAAAACAATTTAAATAACAAAAAATATTGGTTTATTGCAACAGGCTGCTGAATTAATTTTTAAATTTTCTTCCCAAAGAAAAAAACCAAGGTCTTCAGCATAGTTGAAAATATAAACCATCAAAAATGGTTCTGAATTTGTTGAACACAAATAAAACAAAAATGAGCATCTGCAACATGTCTAATTGTAAAAATTTTTGTTTTAGTTAGGAATATAAAATTTTTTTAATTTAAGTAAATTACAAATTAATCCATAGCTAGAGGAGATGTTAATTCATACCTTTCTGAAGGGTATTTGCACGTAACTGAATATAACGAACACAAGTGGAATTGGAATTCAGCTCTTATTTTTGAAACAAAATAAACTGACTTCATTTTGATATCAATTTCATTATTCTATCTAGTTTCAATATTGATTTATAGGATTGGAGACCTTACTTATCAATCAACCTACATAATTTTGAAGAGAAATAAATTTATTATTTTGATACCAGTCTATTCTATCTGGCTTGCAGTCCTATGTTGGGAAAAATTCTATGGCTTGTCATTTCCTGTTTCAGAGGAAAATGTCTTTGCCAGGGACATAGCAGATAAATCCAGCCTGCTTAAACCTGGAATCCTAAATCTGGCTTCTCCAGAAATATAGAAGAATCTCAAGTAAACCCAGTTTCCATTGAGAATTATCACAAGTAAAATCCTCTCTCTCTTTTCATCATTGTCACTCTACTTGTTGCATACATGTTATAGTTTCTCTGCATGGGACAAATATAAATACCTATATAATTTTGTATATCAATTTTCTGATTTAGTAGCACAAAACATCTTTGTCATTCCTTTTCTTTCCACTATTCCATTCCATCCATGAAATAAGGTGTTATTATATCATGGCTATAATAATACCCACAATGGGGGAAATACAAATTAACATCTTTGATCAAATACCATAAAAATAGTCTAATATTTCATCACAAACATTTTCACCATTGCAAATAATAAGCCCCCATTTTTTTTATTTTTATGAGAAACCAATATTGTCACTGCAACCTGCATTTCAATCTGAAGATTCCAATGTGTTTTGATTATTTCATTGATGTAAGTTTGAAACCAATTAAAAATCTACAAAGAATTATATATATTTTTTTTCTTTTTTCTTACTTACCACAACAGATAAATCACTGGAAATAAAAGCTGTATCTGGAACACCAATATTTTTATTTGGTTATGGTGAAAGACAAAAGGAATTTTTTTTTTCAAGTCTCTAACCAGAATATCCCATTTCTTTTAAATTATTACGGGTAATGGACAAATGTTCCTGGTAAAATAAAAAAATAAAGAAAACAGAGAATTAAAAAAAAAAAAAAAAAAAAAAAAAAGATATAATCATATATGTAAATAAATAATTTTAGATAATTCTGTATTTCTGAGATGATTTCAGTATACTTTAATACTTCCAAATTATTATTCTCATTTTGGTAGTTATCATCATCTAAAGTGTTGTAGGTGATACACTCATAGATGAATGGCTCAAAATCAGAGAGGTCCATAGCATTGTGTTGTGTCCCAGTCTTGTTCCTGTTCGAACCATTATACTGAGCCCAAGAAGTTCATTATTTTCTGTCACAGCTTAGAGTAGCGACACCAGTTTCTTTCTTTGAGATGATATGTGAGGTGGATCTGTTTTTGAAGTTAACTTCTATCCTCTGCCCAGAAGCAGGACCTACAAGGCAGAAGGCTAGTTTGAATTCAGAGTTTTCCTTCTCCTGGGATGGTTGCTAACCAAGGCTATGGGGCCCAGTCTATGCTGCTATTTTACCCATAGCTGGAAGGAAGAGGTGGATTCTGATTACACAAACCAAATAACGAACCATTTACTCCACCATTCTTCTTTTGGTTATTATAGATGCAACATTTTGGCAACATTTTTAGCAGAAAGGCATGCTCAGATATGAGCAGTCAGATATATAGATTCAACACAAAGTTTCATCTTAATTCTGAATATTTAACTGGGTCATTCCATAACAATTCAACCACTCAATATAACCAAAAAAAAAAAAAAAAGAATAGATTGTATCATTTTTATATATGTTAGAGATGTTATAATCATTAGAAAATCCTGAAAATTTTAAGTGAAAATTCCTAACCATTCTCAAGATTTTGCAAGTTGAAATTTTGCTGAATCAACATTTTCTGTCAATGGACATATCCATTTTCTAACTCAACAATCTCACAAAAACCATTTTATCTTCTGATCCACTGGCCAGAAACTAATGAGATTTGATACACTTTATACATTTTTAGTCAAGGAATCCAAATATCCCTTTAGAATTTTATGAGTAACCAAAAAGTAGATATTAGCAGTTTTCTGGTGAAAATGAAAATTTTTAAGCAAACAACCACATGGAAAAATTGAGAAATATCATTTTCAACCTCTAAAAGTAGAAAAAACTATAGTATTTGGGGAATAAATCCCAATAAGTTTCATTAACTGATTCAGCAAAATTTCAACTTGCAATATCTTGAGAATGGTCGGGAATTTTCACTTAAAATTTTCAGGATTTTCTAATGACTATAAGATTTACAACATATACCAAAATGAAAAAAAATCTATTTTTGGGAGTTACAGTTTTGCATTTTTTTTGGTTGGTTGGCATGGAATGACCCAACTGTGTCTTTAAAAATAATAATGAAATTTAATGTAAATATAATCAACAGAGGGATATGAAAAATAAAAGACAAAGATTTACCAGTCTTTTTAGACAGTTGATTTCTTCTGGAACATTGGTAAGGTTGGTTCTGTTCAGGCGGAGCCATCTCAATCCTGTCATTTCAGCTACATCTTTGGGAAAAGTATTCTGAAACAAGAGAGAAAAAAATGATAATGGGAGTACCAGGTTTGCTAAGCAGATTTCTGCGGATATAAAATAAATATGTGCAACAATATGTACAATGGATCAAAGGTTAGAAGCAAACAGAAAAACTGATATTTGCAAGAGATTTGCATATGTGCGTTAATACAATTGTTCTGGTGAAAGTTGATCCAGTAATGTTCTCAGTCCTATAACTGACACATTTTCTCATTACTAAGGAAGGATAACTGGTAATTTTATTTGATGGTATTGATAGCTATTTATATAAAGTCCTATCAGTCATCCCTCTGTAAGCATAAAAAGTGGTCATTAGGCTAAAATGGGTAAATGTGCCTGCTACGAGACAAAGTGTCAAAAGGATGGTTTTTCCCTTGACACTGCTTTTTTTAACTACTTTCACTCTTTGGCAATGTATATTGTTTTTTTAAAAAGCAATGATTAGAATTGTAATAAAGCCTAAACATATGAAATTGAATTTATACATTTACTCTGCTTGGCTGCTTGTAATCGATTTTGTGAAAGCGGGCGAAAAATTGACATTCCATTAATTCTATATAATTTCTATTTGAAATACAGCAGAGTATTTTGCTTACTGGAAATAGTAAATTTAATCATTTAGCTTTCAGTTAAAGCTAAAATGAAATTTTCAAAAATGTTTTTTTGTTTTTAAAAATTCATTTAATCTTAGGTATTGAAAATTTCTATCAAATTAGTGGAGATACCTATAAGTTTTACTACAATTCTAATCACTGCTTTTTAAAGCAATAAACATTGCTGAGTAGTGAAAGTAGTTAAAATAACAGCAGTGTCAAGGGAAAAATTGTCCTTTTGACAATCAGTTTTTTTTGTGGGCATGAAAGTCCAAGATTGCCAAGTTGTTTTTTTACATAAGTCAAGTATTAGTCTGGTAAACTCAAAAAGACATCAAATTGTGATTTTCTTATATACATTTTAATTAATAAAATTTAAATGTTGCTTTTTGTCTTATTACCTATCTGATAATGGATGTTGCAGATGTGTCCATGGTGTAATGGATAACAGCCTGGAATGAAATTGGAAAGCCAAATTCAAATTGCAGTAGAGTTTGTTACATTCACTTGTGCAAATACCCCTTGGGAAAAGCATAGATCCATCTCTTGCCCTCTAGCTTTGTGTTAAATAGTAGGAGAGACATCCTTCTTGTGTTTATTTACAGAATTTTGTTTATTGAAATACGATAGCCTAGCATTCTATCAAACTTTTTGTTTATTGAAGTATGCTTCAGTTTATCTATTTAATAATTAGTTATGAATTAAAACAAATTACTGAAAATGTATAAAGTTTAAAACTTCAACATTTTCTATTGCTATTAAATTTGTAAAACTCCTCTAAGAAAATAATTCATGTAAATGTATATGTACTCAAATGGAAAAAAAAATGAAGATTTTTAATAGTATATGCATATTATTTGGAATGCATCTTTTTAGTCGGATGATCTTGGAAAGGTGGCATGGATGAGATTCTGACTTATGGTGAAACGGGGTGAATTGGACAAAAACAAAAAAAAGGTTGTGAAACACTGCCCCATCATTCGCTTTATGAATGTGTGCACCAGTCAGATATGGTTGATCATTCAAATGAAAAAAAAAAAAAATGGTGATAATAAAGTCAATATCTATTTATTTACTAATATTGAAAGAGAGACAGGTGAATGAAGAAGCAAGAAAAAAAGTTGATCATCTCTTTCCAGAGTTCTTTTTAAAGTGAAATCCAAATTGCAATGATCGATATTTTTGTTTTAAGGAATGTTATGTAATTATTATGGTGATTTCCTAAGCATAGCATGTGACACAAGGCCGAAATTACGAGGCACTCAATGATCGAAATCAGTCGTAATTGTTCCCTAGCGAGACAAGCTTGTTAACCATTACACCACCTCGCGGTAACCTGCTGTGAAATTATTATGGTGCAACTTAAATCTATCACTTGGAATTTTTATTTATTTTTCTCAAAGACAAAAATATTGGATTTTATTTTATTTTTTTTATAACCGTATGTTTATGATTGAGTGAATTTGACAAAATTTACTAAGTAACGCTATTTTTCTTCAACAGCTGTCAAAGATTTATTTATTTAAATAAAATCAGGTTTTCTTTCATTTTTTGGTGATATAATTTTTTTTTTCTTCCCAGAAATTTAAACTTTATTTAAATTCGATCCAAATTTTCCTTTCTTGGTAATTTTTTTTTACATCTCCCCCCCCTCACACACACACTTAGTTCATTTTATTTTTTTAATTTTATGAAATTTCGAGAAATCCATTTTTGTATCGCTTTTTAAAAGTTCAAATTATAGCATTTAAAAGTAAAACTTTTCTCCGTTGTTTGAACTTCAGAATTTATCAATAATTCCGAGAATTATTCGTTTCAAATTTGTTATATCACTATCTTTGTTGTTTTTATTTCGATCGATGCATTTTTTGCACGTAAAGCAGCATCTTGCTTTTATTTTTTCTCATTCTACCAGATTAGCGGGTATTAAAATCCAAATAATTCATTCATAGAATTCTTTAATCATTTATTTTAAAATAAGCTATTTAGATCAATTTTTTTAAAAGGATTATTTTTAAATCCTAAAATTAAAAGGAGATCCTCTCTCACAAATTTAAAGCAAACGGTAGAAGATTAAAAGAAAAGCTAATCAAGAAGGTTGTCAAAAAAATGTGTTGACGATGACCAACAGAAAAGATTATTAGAAAATCTCAATTAAGGAAACTGTTTTTTTTTTGTTTTTTTTTTTATTAGAAAGCAGGATATGAATCTTGAATAAATTAAAAATGAAAAAAAAGATAAACTAAACTAAATTAGCAATTAAATTACAAAATTACATTTTCTTTTTCCTTTATGTTTTTTTTAATTTTTTTAAAAATTCATTGTTTTTAAAAAATCCTAGAAACAACTTACAAGGTTTTATGCTGCAAAATAAAAGACGAAAATATAAAAAATAAGATTTTAAAAGATTGTCTTTTGGTTGTCGAAATTACAGCTGATAAATCCCCTTTTTTTTTGTCTTCTGATTATTACAAAATGTGAAAAAAGTAGGGATCTACAGAGGGAAGACAAACTGTCAATAAGTCATCTAGCTTCATTTTCAAAGGATAAAATTACCGCATCACATTTCTTTTTTTTTTTAGCAGTATTACAGAGATCCAAATATAATACTTATGAACAAACAACTGATATATCTCATGCGAATAGGAATAAATAAAAATAAACGTCTTAGAACACTCCTTAAAAAAAATAACATCAAAACAAATTGTCATAATTTCAGCAAAACATTTTACTGGTAAATAAATCGAAACAAAACAAACTGCTAACTTTTTTACCAACTAAAATACTCCGTGATCAATTCAGTATTTTATTATTAATTTTAGAGGGAAAATATCTCATTTTTCAAGTTAAACATATCGCAACATTTCCCCTAATTTTTCCGACGACTACTACAGTAGTGAATGAAGCTAGACACGAAGACCGTAGTACCGAAAGATTACTGATAATTCGAAAAGATCCAGTAATTATAAATAAACAAGGCTTCGATCGTGATAGATGAGGAGTAAACAGATTCCAGTAATTACGTGCAAATAAGCAAAAAGATCTTACCTGGAAATTATTCCGAGTAAAATCTATGCCTCTTACAAAAGGCAACACCCCGGTGGCTGCCATTTTGTCGCCTTCTAAATGACGTCACAGCACTTCCGGTAAGGCTCACTTTTTCAGTCGTAGCTTTTTTTTTTTTTTTATATCAACAGATGTTCTGCCAGATTTTACAAGTTAATAAAAGTACTGAGTTCAACAGGCTAGATGTGAAAAAGATTGGGCTAAAGCCTTAAGTTATGTATTCGAGGTATTGAACTTGAAATTTCAACAATTTGTATGCAAGAATAATTTTTTTTGAAACAACGTCATTACTTTATAAGTTATATCACGTCACCCGCCGCCGCCTTTGCTTTTTTTTTTTTTTTTTTTTGAAGCAGTTGCGCATCGCGTTATCCGAAATGTCTCGGGTTTCGGATATTTATTTTTAGTTAAGAATAAGATTAACGAATTTGTTTGTTCTTTTTTATATTTCTTTCAGTTGCAAAGGATTTTATTCGTAAGCTATGTATGCTTAAAAATTAATATCTTAATTACATTATTAACACACCTGCCCCAAAAATAATTAAAAAAATAAAAACAAAATAGCATTGATTAAAAAAACGTATCCCCTCCCGAGATAATGACTTTCAGCAGATAATTAAAGTAACTGAACACTATCGTCGTCACTTTGCTAATGAAAATCTTACTGTAGTGTAAAAAAAAAAAAGACTTCTTACAGAAAGTTTTTCGGAAAAACTTTTTTCCCCTAAAGTTTAGTTAAATAAAAGTCCAACCTAATTTTAAATTTAAAACTTTAGTTTTTAGTTACTAAAACAAAAGTTTTAAAATTAGGTTGGACTTTTTTTTTAATACACTTAAGTTGGCTGACCTTTGTAAACTGAAATACCCTGATTATTACCAGCCGAGTTACTAAATCTAACGACTAACGTTCTTACCATCCTACCAATAGAAGAAGACTGAAGAGTGTTTAAATCAGAGAATCTCATTTGGAAAAAGTAGAAAAAAGTTATCAAAATAGAGTCTCAGTTATCAAAAAATCTCACTCTTTTATTTCTTTAGTTTAGGCACTCTACTTGTAAGGAAACTTGATTCTCTTGACTTTCCCACTATCGTTTGTAGACTTGTGTCAGAAAATTTTACACTACAAAGATTTTGGAATGAGCAATAAAATTAGTATTTATTTTAAATCTATTAATAATGCCCACTGTCCCATTTTTGCAATAGTGAGCGTTCATGGGTTGGAGAGAAACCTAATAAATACTGGATTTTATATATATATATATATATATATATATATATATATATATATATAAATCTAAAATCTAAATACCGGATTTTTATAAACCTACTTTTTTTTTTTTATAAACCTAGCGTTTCAGTCACTTTCCCATCACCTTAAAAAAAAGTAGCTTCTCTGAGCCTAATAATTACTTTCATCATGGTAATTGTTTTTTTGATGAATTTTCCTCTATGGCAGAGGTGGCTAAACTCGCAAGACACATGTGGCTCTTTGACCTTTATGAGGCTCATGGAAATGTTAGCTTAGGTTCTTTTTTCATCACAGTCAATAAAAAGGTAAATAAGAAAAATTTCAAGCTTTGTAATTATTTACTGGGTATGAATTGATATACTACATTAGAAAACGTAAGTTTAAAATGTTAATAATAAAAATATTTAAATTCTAATTTCATATCTTGCAGCTCTCAACCATCTGAACTTTATCGTATGTGGTTCTTACATTAAGCAAGTTTGACCACCCATGCTCTATGGTACCTAGACTTTACAAATTTAAGCACAGTACCAGATTGGTGGCAAGGTCTCATCATTTTATAGTTAAAATGGTTGAAATGTAACAGTAAGTTCTATACTAACAGTTTCTTTTCTCGCACTTCTCAATTGTGGAACTCTTCTGTAGCAGCCCATAGAAGGGTTGCCATAAAAATAAAATATAAGGAATATACAGGAAGATACAATAAACGCAGAGTTCTTAATAAAAAGAGCAAAGTTTTATTACTGGCAAGACAACCAACAACTTAATCACAATATGTACATTTGTTGATATGTCAGAACTGAAAGGAGTCACCACCTGGTAAAGGGATGGTATATTAAAACACAAAAATTGTTCCAAAGTGTGTAGATATATAAATGTGGTCAATTTAATAGTCCTGAAAAGGAGCAAGGTAATGTTCATGTTTGATATAGTCCTTGATGAAAGGAAAAGTTTGTGGTTGAAACTCATCAACGTTGAAATAATAATGTGTCGTTGAATGACAAGTCTAAGTTCATAAGCTCAAATGAAGTTACTTGAATAAAATGATTTGAGATTGGTAAGTAAAATCCAAAAATGGTGGTGTGCTGAATGAGGATGATGCCACACATGGCATGTTGTTATGTAAATTCAGAAATCGGTGGGAAACCAAATCACAATGCTGTGTTGCAAAGTTGTTGTGTATGATACACCTAATTTACATAAGCGGACTACCGACCATATAAATATGGGTTGGTACCGGAAGACGGGGAAGATAGTAGAGATTAAGAAATTGAATCCAGAGACTCTGCCCGACTGCGATTTAGTCAACCCATTATGCAGGAACAGTCTTCCCAAGAATATACCAAACTAACTGTAAATATTGTGTACCTATTCTTTGTTTCAATACATTTTGTTAACGTACATTTTGTGTTGTATTATTCCATGCTTATTTAAGCTTCAACAAAAGTAGAATTCAATATGGCGATGTGCCAAATAAAAAAGAACACTAAAATGTGGTGTGGTTGCTAAGTAACCAAACATGATAGCATTAGCCATTGTGATGATGTTTCTGCGAACAAAGGTTAAAAGAATTAACATGCAAAAAAAATGAATAAATTGGCTGGAGATGGACTTGTCCATCATGCGGTTCCAAAGCTGCTATTCATATTGCCAGCAACCATGTCAGAGTGAATAGATAAGTAAGAGAGCTGATAGAGAGAAAAGCTGACATAACAAAAGTTGTTCAAAGTATCATCACCTGTATGAGCAGGTGAAGCCCTTAATAAAACATCTTACTTATTATAAAATGCAGATTGTGTGTGTGTGTGTGTGTGTGTCTGTACGTTTATATATTGGATTGGATTTCCTACATTTTTCAACCGGTTTCAACAAAACTTCACAGGACTACGTAAAATAACCTTGCGGTGGTTCTGACAGTGCCAAAAATTGGAAAAACACAATTGTCTTTGCACAAAATCAATTTGAAAACACGATTAAGATGCATCACTCGCTAGAATGAAAGGGAGACAACTCATATCGAGTTATACTTATAAAACCCAGGTTGTTTGCGTGTTCGTTTATATATGGGATCAGATTGGGATGGGTTTTTTTCAACCGATTTCAACAAAACTTTCTTTTTTTTTTGGCAGGTAGTGTTTCTTATTGTCTTGCACACTTTTTTTCTTTTATTTTACATTCAGAATGCTTTAAAAATTCCATTTACAAGACAATTGTTTATAATAAAATTCTATTCAATCGGTAGACTCATAACGATTGAAAACAACAATTTTTTGTTTGAGTTTGGGTTTGACCAATTTAAAAAAAAAAAAAAAAAAAATTAAGACATGCATGTCCGTCAACCTTAAACAATAATCTTTGTCAATTTTATTTTTCAGTCTTTATGATGGTTGATACTTGATCTATCTCTTACTGTTACATCCCCGGGCAACGCCGGGCTCTACTGCTAGTCTACATATAAAATGGGAAAACAGGATTTGCGTTATTATTTCTTAATGTGGTGGTTGTCCTTCATCGTTTACCTTTTGAGCATGAAGAACTCTCTTCCCCAGATGTTGGTGCACACCGCTGAGATCAAGAATCGAAAATTAACATGAAGTAATCACTGGCGTTGCTGGAAAGCTTGGTCACATTGTATTTTTATAAAACTGTAGTCAGTTTCTTCTGGCTTGTAATAATCTGTTTCCTGCAACCTTCAAAGTAGTTTAAGTTAAACAATTCAACAACATATGTCTCCTGTTTGTTAAAGTAATTTCACTTCTGTTTGTCTATAACACAACCTACCCAACTTGATTTGAGGTCCTTCCCACACAGTCAGCACCGTTGCCGGTCAACTGATGGTTATCTACTGATTGCTTCAGTTCTTCATCTGCTCTGCTCCATGTTGTGTTCTTTGATCACAAAGCAGTGAAGATTAAATTTTCATTCATACTTAAGCACTGAATTGTGTTGTGACAGAACTGTGCTATGAAAAGGACAAAGAATGCTTCCACTGGTGAAAATACAAATATCATAAAAATAATAAAGAAGATCACTGAGTTAATTTTCAAATGGTTTATATAATTGCTGATACAACAAAATTAACTCTTCTCATTAAACGCTCTACCAGGACACTGTGTCTCGTGTTTCTAAAGCTTGAAGCAGGTTAAAACATTCACACAAGATGGTCATCAGGAATTTTCAGCAGCAGGTCACATGGGATTTAGCAGTTCCTCATTCACTGCTGATTCGTTGCAGCTCTTGCTCCAACTACTAACTGTTTCTGTTTATATGCATTTCGCTCAACCCCTACCATACTTCTAAACTCATTAATTATTTATCAATTAATTATTTTTTCCACCCTTGGAGATACGACACCAAACTCAGACAAAGTTAGCTATTTCAAAACAATAATTCCTTGACAACAAACTTTGTTTAACATTCCTTTCAACAATCAGTTGCTTACCCAAAACAATAATTTCAATATTTTTTAACCCTTTCAATTCTCCAATTCCTATACGGAGATTTCACATGAACATTTTTAATCCTAATTTCATACCACCAGTGTCACAATAGTGTCACATGTTGTCTCTTTAAGCACTTTTTCAAATTTGAAAAGATTAAAAGAGATTTTCAGGAAAGACTGTCTGATTCTGAGATCTTTTTTAAATAAACAATGCATAAATCCAACATTTTCTTTTTGGGTATATTTTACATACAAGACACATTTGTTTTTGTCCTAGAGGTAAGCCATTTTCTCTAGTGTTACAAATACAGCACAAATTCAAATGAAGGAGAAGATCATGTTACATTAGTTTTC